ACACTATCATCCACAATTACACATATCAAAAGTGTCATTAATTACCGTGACGTCCTCGTTAAAAGTCTTCCAATAATCAAGAACAGAGATGGTCCACAATGATGGCACTCAAAGTTCACCGAGCAATAGTTTCTATGTTTTACTATTTTTCACTTTCGCGCACATCATTTAAACGCACCCTTCAATAATTTCGTTTTGAACATTCGATTGAAACATTAATTTTTTAATAATTTCCTGAGGCTGACAGTTTTACAAGACACTAAATAATTCGAATACAACCAATTGTTCGTTAAAATGTTATACACCTCCATTTATGTTAATTGTTCGAATGTATTTTGTTTCTATTCCTCGAGTTAGAGAGATGACAATGTGTATTCCATCGAAATACGCGCATGTTCGGTTAACTCGTAAAAAAAACTAGCCCGCCGTCCGATGGTCCACGATGGAAAATGCGCGCGCTAGGCCTTTGAAAAGCAGGAGCACCCTCAAAGATGGCGCGACATCTTTTTATCCGAGGGGGGACGCACCTCGCGGGATCAATTCATTGGGTGGACTACGCGTGTGTACTATTAAAACAGTGCTCGTACGCATTTAGGTATACAACTGGATGCAGAGTGCACGCTGGACTCCCCACCGAGCGTGGACCAACGTTCCTCCAACTTGCTACCCTTTCTTCCATCTTTCTCTCACCATGGTTTTGCACCTCCTTTTCTGTCTCTCTTTTCACGCTTCTCTCTCTCTTCCCGATCCTGGAAAAGCTTTCGTCATACCAACGCAGTCGCATAACCTGACGAGTTGCGCCTGTGTCAATGATTTCTAACGTAGGCGGTACTTAAATCCCCCCATTCTTGTCGCTATAAAGGCTTTCATGAGAAAGATACCACAATTCTACCTTACTATCCAAGTATATTCTTCCTTCAATTACCCATAATTAATTCAAGAATAATTTTTACTTTGTTGATTTAGTAATTGTACTTTGAAATTTAATATTTGTTCAATTGTAAGTTGTTTAGAAGGTAGATAATTGAGTCAAGGATAGTTGAGAACCACTGTACTGTGTATTACACCAGGCATTGTTATACAGAGGATAACGCCCCCTTTGTCTGATTGGTTGGTTGGGAGGTTCCATTTGCCACGCCCCCTCTCTGTAACCATCCCCTCCATAATGTTACTACCGCGCGCAAATACAGCCAGGTAGTGCTCCTCTTTCTCTTTCTGTTTAATGATTATATGTTGTCGGTGCTGCTTTCGTTGCCGCCTCTCTTTGTCAACGGCCTTCTTTCCTGTTTCTCCTTTTTAATGCTCCTGCGCACCGCCGATGGGTACTTTTGTGTGTACGAGTCGGGGTGCGTTTATTTGCACTTTTTCAGCTACCAGGAAGCCCAAGGGTAAGTTTCCGGCGTTCTCCACATAAATTCTTCGGGCTATTGTCCACGGACAAACATTTTCTAAATAGGATTATAAAGGAAATGTTATTAAAATTGGAATTTTGATTGTTTTGTAAGTTAATGTTACTACTGGATGTCGGACAGGAAATGTTTTGTTACGGTTCTATATTTAACGAAACGCGGAAAGTTTTGCACGGTCAGCAGGTAGCCGGTGAATTTTACGACGTGGAAATTGCTTCCAGATGTTAGTCATTTAGCGATACGACGTGGTCGGTTTGGTGTAACAAATTCTCTCGCCCAAATTATTATGCCACCACACGAAAAATTTACAGAAAAATACATAATTGAAAGATCCGAACTTTCTCTTCAGGTTCTAGCAACCTGTATTCTCTGTAAAGTTATACGTAGACTAATATTTCATATGCTTATAAGATATCCTGAAGATATTAATATTAAGAACATAAACCTCTAATTTTTTATTCCATTTTCTGATTTTTTTAACTTATAGTTCTTCCTTTGTTTTTCGAATCATTTTTTTCTTCTTTTGATTATCAACCGAGATGATCTATTGATCGTTAAGCTCGATGTAGTTCCTAAAATTATTTTTCTAAATCATAGAGTGCGCAACAGGACAGCTGTTGTATGTAAGGTTGCAGGGCATTCAGGGTTGCAGCGTATGTATGGTTGCAGGGTATCCAGGGATGCGGGCATGAATGGTTGCAGGGTATCCAGGGATGCGAGGCATGAATGGTTGCAGGGTATGTGGGGTTACAGCGTATGCAGGGTTGCAGGGTATGTGGGGTTGCAGCGTATGCAGGGTTGCAGGTTATGCAGGGTTGTAAGAGATACCGTTTGTCAAACAATTATTTTAATAATTCTTCTGATTTCTAAATAACTGATTTCTAAAAAATAGAATCAAAGAAAGTAAAAATTGTGTCTTCTCATGTTTGTGCATGGCCCTGCGAGATGTGGTAAAAAAGGCACAACTGTCATACCGACTGTGCTTTGTATATGCAGACTTAACTACACATGGGGGTGTCTGAGACCCCAAAATTCATGACCCTCGAGACAAAGACATATCTAGTTTTTTTGTCCTTCACTAGTATATTAAGTAGGAACTTTTTTTTTAATACTAACTTGCTGTTAAATCACTAGAAAGTGAACTTCAGCATCTAATGAGATATATATATACATGTGTAGAAATATTATGAATGACAGGATCGTATCTACCGTCCAAGTACTCTTATACCATTCATACATCCTGAAATTAACATAATCAATTCATCATTAGAATATGTAAGTTCATTTATTTTGTTTTTCTTTATACAATATGACCAGAATAAATGTATTCTCTTTTTAACAATGTTAGACCCACAAAGTATCCCCATTATTTCCAAATTTGATACATTACTGGTGTACAAGTACATGAGTGAGTTCGACACTTAAGGTCGTGGAAAATGGCTTTACTCGCAAGAAACATTTGCAAAGTATTTTCGCAGGTAAGGTATATTAAATTAAACTGAAGAACCTCTAATGAAATCAGTATCATTTCTTAAGTTCCTCCAGCTTAATACATTATCAAATCTTATACAATCATTCAGCTGCTTAAAAAAACGAATGATTACCTATCACAAGGGCATTGAATAACATACAAAGTACTATCTTTTTTTGAAGCTTTAGGAAAGTTTTATGAAGCAATAAAAAATTTTGCTAAAACAAGTATTCGAAATCGAATTAGGGAAATCGATTAGGCGAATGATTTCCGCAATTATGTTATTCAATCATTACTTTTACCTCTCAATTGTCATAGATATAGCCTTTTAATTTTTCATATTTGTGAATTAAGTTTGCCTCTAATGGGATTTTATTTTTATATATACAGATTGTATTCAGTAGTTAGATTTATTAACTGTATGAATTTTTATTTACAGACTGCTCAAAAGGGAGCTGTGAGAAGTATACATGTTGGGGCTGTACGTCTGCAGGAATCTGTATGTACTAAATCTTCTTCAAAAAAGCAATTATCACATACCTAACAAACTTCTTCTTTCAGGTAATTGAACAAGAAGGAAGAATCAAATGTACCCTTATACCAGGAGATGGTGTAGGGCCAGAATTAGTGGTTGCAGTTCAAAATGTTTTCAAAGCTGTAAATATACCAATTGAATTTGAACCTTACTTCCTCTCTGAAGTAAATCCAACTTTGAGTGCACCACTTGAGCAAGTATCTAATAGTATTGCTAGAAATCAAGTATGCTTAAAGGTATTTTACATTCAGTGATCTCATTAAAATATCATTGTTTATAAAAATATAGTTCTAAATATTAATCATTCAATAATAGGGTATTTTAGCAACACCAGATCATTCCCATACTGGAGAACTTCAAACATTGAACATGAAATTACGTAAAAGTCTAGATTTATATTCAAATGTTGTTCATGTGAAATCATTACCTGGTGTTAAATGCCGTCATAAAAATGTAGATTGCATTATCATCAGAGAACAAACAGAAGGAGAGTATTCTGCTCTAGAGCATGAATCTGTGAGGGGTGTAGTAGAATGTTTGAAAATAGTAACAGCAACTAAGAGTCAAAGGATTGCAAAGTTTGCATTTGATTATGCAGTGAAACATAATCGCAAGAAGGTTACTTGTGTCCACAAAGCCAACATCATGAAACTTGGTGATGGTCTTTTCTTAAAATCATGCCAAGAAATTGCAAAACTGTATCCTAGGTAATTACAGATACCGATTTTGGTTCTTTAATAATTGTTAATAACTTTTATGAATTCGTTTCAGGGTTACATTTGAAACAATGATTGTAGACAATTGTACAATGCAAATGGTGTCTAATCCACACCAGTTTGATGTAATGGTATTACCAAATTTATATGGTAATATTGTAGACAATCTTGCATCTGGATTGGTTGGTGGTGCAGGTGTAGTTGCAGGTGCTAGCTACAGTCCTGAGTGTGTCGTTTTTGAACCGGTAACATTAATGAATATATTGTTATAAATGTGTAAATTAATTTAAAATTAATACAAAATATATCATAATTTTATTTATAATATAGGGTGCAAGACACACATATTCAGAGGCTGTAGGTAAGAATGTAGCAAACCCTACTGCTATGCTTTTGTGTGCTGTAAAACTTCTTCGTCACGTGAATTTGAAGCGTTATGCTGAACAAGTCAAAGATGCGTTAAATCGCGTTCTGAATGACGGAAAAGTTTTAACAAAGGATTTAGGTGGACAGAGTTCTACAACAGAATTCACAACAGCTGTGATACATTGTCTTCGTTAATGTTTGTATGATTTCTGTTAATTTTAAAAAAACTTATGTAACATAGAATGATATAGAAATGAAGTACTGTGTTCATTTTACATTGTCAGGAATCTTAAAGATGGCCATGCCGAATTGCATAATGTTATCTCATTACAGACGGTACCTAACTTATCTATTTTGAATTTAAATTATACTAATAAAATTTTATTTAAAAGTATTACATTCTATGAGTAGAAATATTTATGGTGTCTTGTGTAACACGGTATTTCGATTTACAAAAGTGTAATGACACTTTATCAATTGTACAATAATAGCAAAATACTCGGACGGTTAATAAATTATACTATCTCGTATGGAATGGTCCTCTTTATCTATCGTAACATAACCTGATTGTATTTTTAATTGTATCATTTTGTAGTTGATAGAATATATATTTTCATGACATTATTAAAATGAATACATAAAAGGTAAGAAATTTATCATTTGAAATCTCATTCTCCAGTCACATGTGACGTGTTTATTATCATTAACGTCACATTCCATTTTACCAGCATTGCAGCCTAAGCGAACTGTCAAAAAACATATGTTTCGATGGATACCGAAGATCATGCATTAGATCTTATTCGCCAGGACATTGTAAAAAATCATCTTCAAGTTACAGCTTTGATACAAGTAAATATTATTTGCCACCAAATTTTTCTACGGAAATTATAACATAACCTCAGTAAGAACATGATAGTCAATAAATTATTGCACTACCATCAGAGACTGTAATTAAGATTAAACAAACCAAATGATCAATTTCTTATAATTATTCTTTATTAATCAGTGCATATTTTTCAGGATATTCAACAATGTATTGGTCCTCTGGAACTGCTCAACGAATTAAATGCAGAAGGGAGAGGAAAAATAGCAGCCTTAAAATCATCAATAGATAAAATAACATTAGCAGCAGAGAAAGAACTGTCTAAGAAGAAGAAAGCAGAATTATTAGCAGAAATAGATACTTATAAACAGCAACTCAATACTTCTTTAGCTGCATTCCGTAAAGCCAATGTTGTTAGTGTTTGTGTAATAGATAAACTTGCTAAAGAGGAACTACTTTCAATGCCTGAAGAGCAACAAGCTGCTTTACGTAGAAGACATGACAAGCAAAGTATAGCAAACTCATCAAGTCAGCTCTCTGATAAACTTTTAAGTATATCTAGGCACTTAGCAGAAACAACACAAAGAAGTGCAGATACATTAGACACATTAAGTATGTGTTTAGGGTTTAATAGCATCTTCTAAGTAACAGAATATGACTTCTAATACTTTCTTTAACTTTTAATTTTTCAGTAACATCATCTGATAAAGTTACTGGTACTAAGGATGAATTAGAACACCAACAACAAGTTATAGTTCAATCTGGAAAACTTTTAGGCAAATATGGTAGAAGAGAAGTTACTGATAAAGCATTAGTAGCATTGTCCTTTGCATTTTTCCTTGCTTGTGTGTTTTATATTTTACAAAAAAGACTGTTTTGAAAGTACAAACTATTATGGCAGATAGGTAATTATACTTTGATGAAAGATGTATTTTCTAAAGCACAGTTCAATCGTTAATTACTTTATTTATAATGATATTTGTTATTTATCTTAACCAGAAAGCTGTTTTGTAAGTACATCTTTTATTATGGGAATAAAAGAAAGTCAGTCACTTATTTTATGAAAAAAGGGAAGCAAGTTCGGTTTCGTTAGTCTTACCGCTCACTTTCAGATGGCACCAGCTGTACCATTTTCAAGGCGCGCATCTAAAATTTAAAAGTTTAATAATAGGACTTACACAATATTAGGGTGAAATGAAAGGAAACAAGAAATGTAGCAACTGACGAATTGGAACATTGATTGCATTCTAAATGTAAATATATTACCCACATTTTATACATCTTTCTCATAATTTTTAGAATATAATAATTATTAGTTTCTGATTCCTCAGAATATACAGAGTAATACTGTGAAGGAATTTTTCTTGTCCACTCAATTCACCAAAACTGATTAAATATTACCAGCTGACTTTGGATTGCAGAATCCTGAAACCAGAAGGTACTATAAGTAAGTGAGTCAGCTACCTTAAATTAGAAAATTACTTTTACCATATATTAAGTTTTCTATTTCATGTTAGCTAAGCTGAAAGTATAATTGCGACATTATATAATTCGCTGTATACATTTTTACAAGTGCTCATGAATTCCTCTTGGGATATGACTCCGTCCTTATCAATATCCATCTTCTTGAAGATCTTATCCACGTGTCTGTCTATCATCCGTTGAATAGTCTGCCCGTTATGTAGCATCTCATAAATCGCCGACACTATGACCAACATTTCTTTTCTCGTGATATAACCGTCCCCGTTCAAGTCGTAAAACCTAATGAGAAATAAGAGTAGAAAGTAACAATATTATCGCGTCACGGACAATGCAATCTGACCGAACGATCACCTGAAGATCCATGAGAGTTTCTGATCCGTGTCACCATTGGTGATCAAGGATATTTCAGTGAGGAGATCACTGAAACTTACGATTCCGTCTCTGTCCCTATCGAAAGCGTTAAAAACGATCTGCGCGTATTTAGACGGCTCTCCCAATGGGAATAATTTTGCGTAAACTGGTTTCAAATCGTTCGTTGTTACCGCTCCTCTCGGGCAATGCTGTTTAAAAGCACGATAAAGCTTTCGTATTTCGTCCTTCGTGAATCCCGTTTGGCGCGTTAAAGAGGAGAGCCGTTCCGGTACTATGTACCGCGATTGCTTCTCCTCGTCTTGAATGTTCTCTACGAAAACGCAGTGAGCTTGAACACTCGTCGAAGTTTCTAAAAGTATTGAAAATAGTCTGATACGATAATTTTTCCATTTTTTTATAGCGATCAATGATATTCGAAGAGGTAACTCGGGTATCTGAGGGGTGGGGGAGACATTAACAAGGGTACTTGTCAACTTGAAAATCAAATTCGCGCTAGAAAGTATTGCTATAACAAATAGTAACTTATCGTCGACATACCAGTTATCTTCTGAATGCTCTTCTTCATTTTTTTAAAACCTCGCTGCATTCTTGAGGAGAGACTCGCTCGACCTTGGATGTTCTGATTACCCTTATGATTATTGAAGCTATCGGACATTATATCGCGCACAGTTTCGATCGTTAAAAATTTCTACGACATAAAAGAACGTTTTAAATATAGAATATAATAATTATATTTGTTCATTTTAGAATGAAGAAAAAAGACAATTACGTTACTTAGACATTGCCATTTTTAACCAGTAGATTTAGAAGAACATAGAAAAATTTATGGGAAAATTAAAATATAGAATGTAGAGGCTTTCTCAGTCAGAAGTAAAACAGAACTGACGCGTGTGGTGCAGCTAACTTGTTCGAGCAGATTCAAGGAAGCTGCTATTCAAAATATTTAGACAATTTACCGCGGCGGTAGTTTAGAATCTGAAGGATAAGCCTTTTTCAAACACATTTCGGCTAAAAGTAATTTTTATTCCCTCCTCGATTATTTGCTTATATTTTTGTAGTAAAACGTTTAAGTACGGCCTATTTAATTTCTTTTACCGGCTAACCCGTTTCTTCAAAGACAAAGAATTGCATTATTTACAGGGAACGAATATGAATCGCTTATGGCATCCTATTCTTCCGCTGGATATCTTATTATAGAAACTACTTCTTACTCATGTGTTTTTCATATGCGTTTTCCTTCGGGAATACTAATAGACGAACGCACGAGTAAGGCACAGTTTATTTCGCTTAACTCCCACGCATTTATTGCTCGATTTATGTATGCGGAATATTTCAAATTTCTCAAAGGGAGATCCTAAGGATAGAAATTTCCGCTGGCTTAAAATGTTACGTACGAAAGCGAGGAACACATCGGGTCGCGTTTCAAAGCGTTAAAAATGGACCGTAATTGTCAACAGACAATTGACGTAATTATATCTAGTTCACCGTGACCTGAATATTCTTATCGTTTGATTATAATGCTCGTTGAAAAATTTGACCTGACTAGCTGATAAACGAGAAAACCATTCGAGGATCGCGAACCCTTTCGCGCAAAACCGTGAAGCGGACTTTCTCTGCCAAATGCTATTAATAGTTCGTCAGTCTAGAAATGTGCTATTACGGTAATAGGAAATAGTAACAGCTAGTCATAGCGAACCTTAATAAGAACGATTACCTGTTGGTTCTTTGCAGAATATCTGCTGAAAATCTGTTTGAGGATTAATTGATGCCTCATCGGAGGCAAGCAGCGTACTGCAGCATCAAATACGCTCGTTACCGATAATTAAACTCATGTTTGATATACGTGGATGTCCATATATACGCTTACATAGATTTTAATTAAAATGTTCTTCGGCCAAGATTAAACTCGGGGTAAACATTGAATGAAATATCAGAACGACGGCCTTGACATAAAATTATTACGAATTGGGGTAATTCGTAATCAACATTGTTATTAAGCGTTACATAGTACGATTCCGTTTATATGATTGACGCGATAAGAGGAATTTAATAGCGATGTTAAATGAATCTAAGTAGAAACTTTTACTGAAATTTTGTGTTAATTTATATGAATGAAGAACACGCAAGTGCAGAAACGCAATTGTTGCGCATCAATGTATATAATATAATTGTATCCTTTGATACGTGTTTTCCTGAGAAAGAATCTCTACGCGTATAGAATATAAAAAAGGTATGCCTTTTGAATATAAAACTTCCTTTGATCCCTATCAAACAATGGGTTCATAAGGACCTGATGCATTATTGCATAGGTAAATGAAGCAAAATGATGATAATTAATAAATCAATATTGCTATTTTCGATTCCGGGGAAACCGACCGGGAAGTCTTAAGTTCGCATTGTTAAGAATATATCAAACAATTGGAGATAGATACATGTATACACGTGTTTGCATGTTCGACCAACACATTTTTTCTGAATGGCCAGGCCAGTATATAAAACAGGCGGTAAGCATCCAGCATCTCTCCATTGCGAGTGTGTACTTGCTACTGTGAGTAACAGCTCAAAGTTTTCGTAAATTCGGAAAAGAGAAACCATGCGAATAGCCAGTTATTTGTACGAAAAGCATTCGGTACCGGTTAAAATGATTACGGTCGAATATTGAAAGAAAGGTAACTTAAAGGAAGAAGTGTCATCGACCAGTTTGTTCAGTCAGTGTGAAGTTCGAAAGTAAAAAATACGAGACCGCCGAATATACATGTATGTCGCAACACCTTGTCAATTAAGTCGTTTGTTTAGCATGAAAGTTCGTACCATTTCTTCTACTTGTTCTCCATTTTTACATATTCGCATGTACGTTTACCGATTTACATCTTTTTAGCTGTTCGTCAATTTTAAAAAGTGAAACTTTCAAGACACTGTATACAAAATGAAAATCTGGATATTATTCTTATTGTTGATCGCTACCGTGTCTGGGGCACCGTGGCTCGACATTCTTTTCGGGGGACAACCCGATTATAATTATCAGGTACCTAATTACAAGAATAAACAGTACAGACGGCGTCAAGGAAAGGGAGGAAAGGAACGATGGAAGGAAATTTGCCGGACGATAAATCCTGATCCCTTCGCGTTTCCTGGTCGCGCTCCTTATCCTTCCGGGCCGGTTTGTCCTTGGTAATAGACCGTTATAGAGGCTGAATAATTTGACAGTAAAAGTGCGTTAAAAATATGAATTTATTGTAACAATATCAGGGAATACAAAGATATTCACTGGTTATGAGTATTTCAGTCGGTATACAAGTTTCGCTATTACACTAATTACATAAAAGTATATCTGCCAATGTAAATGATGTATCAAGGATTAAGTTTCTTGATGATACATTTTTGTACAGTGATTGTATTATGTCCGCACAATTACTCGTTGCTATTTCACTCTATTTAAAATCGTCGTTAATTTATCGTTTCTTTTTTTAAATATATTACAGTCAGCAAGCTCTTTCTTCGTTTCATTTTTTTTTTCTTTTTGTCTTTTCTTAGGTAGAAAAATAAATCATTTATATTACACAAAAATCGCTGTATTAAAGTAACTTAAGTTTTAAGTTCCGTTCAAGAAATGCAATGTGTCTCATCATTATTATGACTATCGATGATCTTAAATACCGTATCTATCTATGTATAGATATATTACACATTATATACAAATAAAAATCACAGAATTACCGTAGCAGGTGAGTTCGTTCATAAAAAAAAAAATTCTCGATGTCCGATCAAAATTCTTTCATCGCCAGAATAAATCTGTGACGCGTTAGAAAAATTTGTACACCGCGCGCAACTTTAAAACTAAACGCGACAGAAAAGAGAACAATCATTTCCAAACTTGTATCAATCCGTCCGTACTACCGGTAAGGATACACGTGTTCGACATAGCTACGGCGGAAATCGTATCGTGATGCCCAGACGGTGGGGTTTCAGGACCCTGACCACCCTCTTCAGAATTTCTTGTTCTCACGCTACTATTTCCTCCTGACGATGAAGCGGGGCCACCCCCGGCTAACACCTCTTGTACCACGTTTGTTCCATCTATCAAACGTTGTCTGGAAAATAAATACCATGTAATGAATTAACGATGCCTTTGAGATAAACATATATACGATCACGAATACTAACTCGTATGCTAATGAATTCGGAGGAGTAACATCATTAGCAGCAGGCAGTGCAACGTAGGATTCATTGGGTGTATTTAAATCCCAAAAACGTAATCTCATATCAGTACCACCAGCCAACAAAAAGCCTGAACGATCAATGCATCCGGAATACATTGCGCATACACTGTGACCACCTTGTGAATGACTAAGAGGTGGTGCACTTGATGCCCAAAGAACCATTTGCCGAAAATCAGTTTCAAGGTTCCACATCGAAATTTCGTTGTTACCTTGCACAGCCGAAATTATCCACGAATGTTCTGTTGGATGTGTTATGACCTTTCGGACTCTTGCACCTGAGGTGAAAAATGTTTTATAAGATCCAATAAATGTTTTACGTTACATAAGTTTCACACACTTGAATCAGCATACCCGTAGGGTGTTTAATACTGGTTATTGGCAGTTGAAATCGTAAATCCCAACATGTATGTACGCCGGAACTTGTACCAAGTGTCAACCACTGTTGATAATTATTCACGCAAAATGAAGTGATTACTCCGTGTTTTAGATCATTTTCTAAACGCCATGTTGTACCAGGACATCTTAAATCCCAACCAACCAACGATCCGTACAATGAAGCATAGACAAGAACTGATTGTGAACCAGAATCTAAATACTGCAGATCAACTGCACATCCTTCTTCCTGAACGTATTTGAACAAGTTACATTGATTTATTAAGATTCTCAAACAGGAAAATACTAGCCAGATACTGTAACAGTTATAATCACCTGAAGATCTAATTGTCTGGTACCAATGACACTCATTTTACTAGAATTTGATTCGATTCGTAAAACGAACACCGTGCCAGACTGACTAGCAGAACTTGCTAATGATTGTCCCTGATCGCATACAGCTAAACCAACTAAAGGACCACCTCTGTGCATATAAGTTTGCCTAATGAAATTAAAATATGATGAATAAGAAAATTTCAAGTTATGAAAATTTAAAGAAGAATAATTTATACCTAGAACGATTAGCAATGTTTCGACCTTCCATTTTACTAGCATCCCATATTTTGATACATCCATCCGCAGAGCTACTAGCAAATAAACTAGTATCTGGTATAGAAACTAGCCTGTTTACAGCAGCTCTGTGTTCGTGGAGATGTGCAACTGGTACACCTCGAGGTCTCCAACCACTTGGTAATAGTCTCGAACCTTTGATTAAGTACAAGAAAATATTTCGAAGAAATATTCATACGATACCTAAGAAGTACGATAATTATTAATTACCAGCTTGCCATGCAATGTTATCAGCCCAATGCTGTGCTCTTAACGCAGCAGCATGTTGTTCTTGTTTTCTATATGTTAGCTGCCTTACTTCCAGTCTACAAGGTGCACACCTATCTGAAAAATTATACACAATTTATGTAATAGATTCGCATAAACATCGAAGAGCTATTTTAAAAAACATACATTGAATATATGAACGTTCATGAAGAGAATGATCATTTATACTGTTCATGTCAGACAGACTATGTTGTGGCGACAAATGTATGTCTCCTCCGTGTAAACTTTGGCTGGGACTTCCGCTACTTCCGGTCATATCTGACATTTTAACGGAATGCTATAATACAAAAAAAAAGCAGATTTTTTATTATTCTAGAAGGTTCAACTAAGGGATGTAGTTTTAATTGTTGATTAATTACTTGAACATTATCTTGAGCTGCAAACATGGTACGCCATTCTTGGTTCATTGTTGCATATGTACCAACGCTATCCGATGTTCTGCGATCTAATCGCTTAAATGGCGGAAGACTTAGATCAGCTTTTGTATCGGGATACAATATTACTATATGATGCCGTGTTCTATCTTTCATAGAGCTTAATTCTAATTTTCCATCCATTGATTTGGTTGTGTTTTGCTTCGCGTCCACTGAATTTCGATACTTGTTAATTTTCATTAAGTGCGGTTTCATTATCAATAACTGATCCTCAACAGTTTCAGTCATTGATTCGGAACTTAAACGTCTGAAAAGCTAAAAGTATTTCGTTCACTTCTAAAGAAGTTTATGAAACGCGTTTCCAAGAAACTTGGAACTTACATTACGTAACGAAGTACTCATTTCGCTGTATTGCGGTACTATTCCTGTTACCGCTTTAGCTCGAGCCATTTGTCTCTGTTCAAGAATTTGAAACAATTCTTCTATATCGTTATGTTTGACGACGGAATCGTAAACTATTCTTGGTATAGGAGATACCAAGGCTTCTAACAATAAAATTTCTTTTTCTATTTGAATCAGTGGATGCTTTAAATATGGCTGAATCATTGATTGAACCTTGCACTGAACATCGACTAAATTAAGCGTTCTTGCTGCTGCTGATATAAAACCAACGGTTGCATGCCTTATCCATAAATTTGGATGTACCTATATAAAATTTTATATTCAAGTTAATTATTATCGAGTGATAGTACCACCTAATATTATTGAAATATAACTTACTAGAAAGACCATGGTTTCAGATAAAAGTAGATAAAGCGCTGATTTGTGTAAGAGACCTAATTCTGTAAGAGTTGCCATTGCATTAATAGCCTTTGTTGTTACAAATTCTTCAGGATCTGCTAGCCCTTGCTGAAGAAGAGGCATAAGTATAGGGCTACTATGCCAGCCAACATAGGCTGCTACACCAACAATGCACTCAAAGAAAGAACCTCTTAATTCTTTGTCTTCCTTATCGTTTAAAAAGGTGATTACATGACTGAGTAAAATATCATTAGCCTTTTGTTTTCCAAAAAATACACATAGCTTATTTATTCCACTTTCCATCAACGTTTGTTTCACCAAATTTTGAGGATCTGTTAATAACATTGACACGGATTGTTGGACCTAGCAATACTATAGTTTAGTATATAATACAAAAAAATATTTGTTATAAAATTATTTCACCAATTACCATTTCGTGTAACGTTTGAAGTTCACTATCATAACTTGGCTTTGGACCTTCTTTATTACCTAAATTAGATAAATGAGCATTTTCTAAGTAACGTAACGCAATATGCGCCAAATGCGCAATATTTTCCGCGTAAGCAGCTCTAACAATCACTGCTTCATCTTGCGTGATATGTGATAAACCAGGTAGAATGTACTCTGGAAAGATGTTCACATCTGAAGGTGGAATTGATTTTACAAGATGCAAACATTTTGTCAATGTGTGTATGGCTGATACCCGTACACGAGGAGCAGGATCATGGACTAAATGAAACTGCACAAGTACAAATAAATGTTATCTTAATATGATTAACGTTATATACGTAACATCGACTATAATACTTACGATATAAGGCAAAATTCTATCTAATATCGTTTCATCTGATGTGTTTTCAGCGAGTTCAAGTAATATTTCCAAACTTTGCAATTTAGACTGAGAATGATGTAAACCACGTATACACGAAGTAACAAGCTGAGTTATGATAACCAATCCTTCTAGTGGTTCTGGAGATGAAGTTTGTTTCTCACTTTCTCTCTCAACTTTCTGTTTCTGGTCGTTAAATAGTTTAGTTTCTAATTGATTATTTGTTTGGCTACTAAATTTAGTATCCTGTATTGAAGCAGTTTTTGAATCAATTTGATTTAAATCACTTTTATCAAAACTTTGATCACTGTCACCTTCAACAATGGTATTCTCTTCACTGTGACCAGAATCATCTTTAATGGATTCTACATTATTTTCACACTGACTATTTTTGGTTATTTCTATAGTTTTTGTATCACTTTTCATTTTCTCATCGTCTTCTGCTTTTAAAATATTAATGATATTACCAATATCTTTCTTAAGTCTATTTATTTTTTCATCGGGCGATAAAATTGGAGCAGCAGAAAAAATAAGCATGTATGATTGTAGAAACGAATAAAAATATTCCGGAAATACTGTTCCACGGGCCTGAGCTAAGTAAATTTCAGCACTTTTTCTATTTGCTGGATTCCTTTCTAGCATAGATGCAAGCAATTCACGTATTCCAAGATCTTCTATCGTATCCAAATGCTTGCTTACTGAATATTCATTGTTTCTATATGCTTAATATATCATAATAAAATAATTTTTAAATGTATGTTTATAGTAATACCATATACATGATTTATACACGATCATTATATATATACATATACGTATATTACACGCACCTAATAGCTGGGAAAAGTCAAAAGGCGGATGTCCTTCGTTATATAATTCAGTTAAAGCGCAGCCTGCCGAAAAAATATCCATCATCGGATGCAAATCACCCGTCTTTAGCTCTTGTTCTGATAGTAATAATGTATTGCTTAATTCTGAAGACAATGTTTTCACAAATCGTTCGGGAGCTATGTAACAGGTTCTGAAATTTTTTCAAAGGAAATATGAGTGTAACATAATAGTTTGAAAATAGTCAATAGAAAATTTATTATATACCTTCTTCTAGAAGTGTCAAAAAAGTATGAAAAATCAGCAGGATTATCTTCAGGCAAATATGTTGGTTTAAAGCTTGCAAAGTCAGTGAGTAAAATCCAATTCCAACTGGTTATCATAATGTTTTCTAGTTTGATGTCTCCATGGCAGACTCCAAACTACAGTCAAATCAGAATTGATATTTTAATTTTTTTTTTTCTTGTGACACTGTATCAATGGAGTCTAGTGAATGTTCTTTCACAACTACAGGACTGTAGATATTTTCAGTTTGATGCTGTGAAAAGCATTTTAATGTGTTCTTTTAACAGCTAAGGATTAGTTTTAAAAATATGAAAAATTGAAACTTTATATTAATAGTGTATATGTGATTAAATTATCTAACATAATACTTTTAAATAACATATGGACAACTTAGCATATAATCCTGGAAATATTATCTGACCTTATGAGCTTGATGCAAAGCATACAAAACTTGAAAGGTAATCCACTTCTTTTCTATACTTGTTAAAAATGGCCTAGTACTAATTCTGTCATACAAAGAATATTTTACATATTCCCTCATTATAGACCCTGATTTTTCTGTAAGCTAATATAAATACATTATTAGTTTTACTAATGTATAACTCTATGATGCATCATAAAGATATATATATATGAAACAAAATTACTTACAATCATTCTTTGAAATGGTAGGCAATTTACAGCAGATGCTAATTTAGATCTAATTTCTTCAAGTTTATCTTTATAAGAAGATAATGGAAGTGTTGGATCATGAATGGCAAACACTTTAACCACTATAAGACCCTCTTGGCTTCTGGCTCGAGCCACTTTAAAAAATCTAGTACTTCCTAAGCTGCAAATGTAGGAAGAGTAATAATTAAACGTAGAAAAAAAATAAATATGTTGAGCAAAACTGACAGAATATAGGTTGGTATAAAAGTAACGATTTCATTTTCACAATATTGAACTCAATTACTTACTTTACATCGAATAGTAAGTCACTATGATCTGTCAAATAATGTTCTACTGGAAATATTTGACTAGGCGCAATACCGACTAATTGGTTTCCCATTTTGTAAATGAATATTCAGTTAAAGTTGATGTATTTGCAAGCAGCATCCATTTTGTGCCAACTTCATATTCTAAGACATAATACAATGTAGCCATACAAACATTCTTTTTGCAAAAATTTCCTAGGTATAACATCTTACGCGAATGTTACGATTTATTATGGACCTTTTATAGAAAAAGGGTGCATAATTTTACAAAAAGATCAAAGAATAGAAATGGCATTGTGGCTTTACTTTAAATATGTATAAATAAAATCATTGAATTTGATTGATCAAAAAGCATATCGTTCGATGGAAACCACCGTTATTTAGCATGATTTGACGTTTCGAAAAGCTACCTATACCTTTTGAACACAACTATTTAGATTATTTGCGAACATGGCGCGAGGTAGTAGTGCTGGTTTTGATAGACATATTACCATTTTTTCGCCAGAAGGGCGATTATATCAAGTAGGTAAGATTCGAAAATTACATTATATTAAAATACAATGAACTTTTAAATTTCCGTCGATGTCTTTTATGTTATTAAGTTATATACTTATAAGCGGTGATCATGGCATAGCGTGACCTGCAGTTTTGAACTTTTCTAAATGTAGTTTATAAATATTTTGCAGAGTATGCATTTAAAGCAATAAATCAGAGTGGGCTGACTTCTGTTGCGGTTAAAGGAGTCGATACAGCTGTGTTTGCAACACAAAAGAAAGTGCCTGTAAGATAACCTCTATTCATTTTATTTTTACTATTTCCAATAATAAAGTTTCTGTGCTGTTTTAATGAAAGTTTCTTTATAGGATAAGCTACTTGATGCCTCCAGTGTTACTCATATTTTTCAACTTACTGAACATATTGGTTGCCTTATGACAGGCATGATAGGTAAGGGAATTGTTGATTACACGCTGTATAAGATTTATGTATGAGCTTTCATTGTACCTTGTATCTTAGCTGATGGCAGATCTCAAGTTCAACGTGCAAGATATGAAGCTGCTCATTTTAAATACAAGTATGATTATGAAATCCCTGTGGATTCATTATGCCGGCGCATTGCAGACATCAGTCAAGTTTATACACAAAATGCAGAGATGAGACCTCTTGGATGTTCTATGATGCTAATTTCATATGATAAAGAGAAGGGTCCTTGTGTTTATAAAGCTGACCCTGCTGGATATTACTGTGGTTATAGAGCTATCTCTGTTGGTGCTAAACAAACAGAGGCTAATTCTTATCTTGAAAAAAAGTTAAAGAAGAAACAAAATTATGATCATGATGAGACAATACAGTTAGCAATCACATGTTTATCTACTGTTTTGTCTGTGGATTTTAAACCAACAGAAATAGAAGTTGGTGTGGTATCAAAGGATAACCCTAAATTTCGGTAATTATATTGAAATGTAATTACTTTTTATAAAAATGGGTAAACATTTAATAAACAAGAAATATCTTTTTGTTACAGAACATTAAATGAACAGGAAATCGATAAGCATCTTACTGCAATTGCTGAAAAAGATTAATACTTTCATGAATAATTTACTATAAATAAATATCATGTCTTACTTGATATATTGTCTCATTTTAATACTTAAAAAGGGGTATTTTGCTATATCAAATATAACTGTTAAAAATAAATTATACACATTTCTAGCTTAGAGTAAAAATTTTATTATCAGTCAATCATTTTTATTACAAATAGTAAATTTATACAAAAATTATTTTCCTGATGCAGTTGCTAGAGGATTTCTTAAAACTAGAATAACAGAATCCCCTCTTAAGAACATTTTTGATATAAATCTGTCTTTGTTCACTGGTTTTGCCTGATGAAAAGAAAATTATGAATTATAATTGTATTGTTAATACAAACTGCTATACTATCTTACCTTCTTTTTCCCTTTGCCTGTACGTGGAAGTTCAGTCCACATTTCTTTTACATTTTCCAAAACCATATTACAGTGTCTGTCAAATGCTTTTACCCTTCCCAACAATTTTTTGTTATTCCTACAATTAATTAAAACTTGAGTATTATTTTTAACTGATTGTGTCAGTACTGAAAGTGGTCCAGTATTAAATTCTTCTTCTTCTCTTTTAGCTAATTCCTCTGGTGTCATCTCGGATTTTGGTTTAGTTAAAGAGGACCTATAATAAATATTATTCAGTACGAAAATATAATAATATATAAAAAGTTGAGGTTACGTTTTATTATTTAAATACGTGAATAGAGTAAAATAAAAACAAATACTTACATTTTGAAGACTTTTTTTCAATAACGAAAAATATTAATAAAATCCTCCACTCAGAAGTATTGTCCTTACAATGTAAGTGATTGCGTTTTGAAATCAAGTCAATGCAAAATGTATTTTCATAAACTTTTTCAGTTTGCAGTGAACACAGATGCAAAAAACCTAGACATGCCTTTGTTCACTAGAAGTCATGATCTAGGGGTCCCTAGACACCCCGTTGAGGTTACGCCTGTTTGTATGCATGTCTAGAGCGTTGGCGTTTATCTAAGGTAAAATGGCGGTCGAACAGTTCAATCACTCCGTGAAGTACTACAGGTAATATCACTCAATATGTAGTCTAAATCAGCATGTGATCAAAAAATTATTAAAATAATTATCTGACAAACGTGTATTTTAAAAAGACTGCCACAAAAATATATCTTATTCAAGTAAATGCAGTTGGCCCCGCGGCGGAAAGCCGGGCATACTTCATAAATTGGCCGCTTCGCGCTGAATCAAAGTAGTGGTGAACAGTGGTGAGCAGTGAGCAGTGGTGAGCGAACAGCCAGGAGCGAAGGAGGCGTGTTTTTGCTAATCATCTCTTTAATCGGCAAATTTCGCACGCGACAGTATGTATACTAATTTGACTTATTCTTTCTAAATCCAGTTTAATTACAACTTTAGTGTATTTAATTTGTAACGTGTAACAGCATCAGTATTGATTACGTAATAGAATGCAAGAGAATACCAGGCCGCATTTCCAGTAATTTTTACAGATAACTATTAAATAGTTTGTTTCTATAATTTTCGAAAATTCTATCAGAAGTTACATTACATTTATTTTATTTAAAAATTTTGAAGATTAGTTTCGCCTAAAACAAAGTTTCCCTATTATAAATTTATAGGTTAGCCATCCGCACGATGTATTTTCTTATCGATCAATAACAAAATTATAGTTTTAACTGTACTGCGCGTTGAAATAAAATAATACTTTTCCATACTAATAATAATTTTTATATATTGTAGAGTGTATTTTCTTATTTTCATTATGTGTAATATTTGTACCCTGATAAAGAAGCCGCACATGTGGCCACCCACACATCAGTATTTCTGCTGAGAAGTGTACTAGTATTGTTTGTACCCTTTTCCCAAAATATAAGATTGTTTTTCTTTTTAGTCTTACTTTGACATCGTAAATATTGACATCAATGATTGCTTTAAGATGCAATCAGTTACCTTATATAAGTTGTTACATTCTTTTATATTGTTTAACATGAGCATTTAATTGAATAAAACATAATTTTTTGTTAATAATCGAAAATATCTTATATCGTTATATAAAGATAGTAGAATATAGAATAATGTATTACGTGTAGAAATAGTTTATGAAAGGTCTTAGACGGCGTCAAGGATCGCTTATCTAACGATGCATGTTGCACTGAACTTCTTAAATGTTATTACAATTTACGTTTGTCTCGGGAAAGTATATTCGATCGTGTCTAAAATTTTTATGAACAATATTTCGATTATGTACGTAAATGTACCAATGATAATAATTCATAATTTTGTTAGAACATCATCGTAAATTGTAAAAAAAAATATAAATAAATTTGTTGGTGTAGAATGTTCTCCAGAGATCAACTGCGCTATCTCGCGCGTAATACTATTTTTATATTCTAACTGAACTTGTGCATTTAACATCTCGCATCTACGCTTTCAACTATTTATCAAATATTTAATTCAGTTTGTCGGTTTACAAAATGAAGTAAGGTAATAAAATTACCGCTATCAATTATAATAAAAGGTTGGAAGAAGTTGAAAAATCTCAAGTTGAGAATTCAAATTAAAAAATTTATCATTCCAATTACGTATTCCGATAGAGCTCTGCAAGTGTCGTTTGAAACTATTTTTAAAAGCAATATGTAAACATTTATCGTCTGGAATATATATCAATTATTCATTTATTTTGTAAACATCCCGAGTCTGGATATGCTCCAATTCTACGTGTCCTTCGTTTTTAAATTTATCCCTTTGCGCTTGAGAGGCGACTTGGTATTTGATTTAACGTGACAAGATTGTGTTTAAAATTATTTTAAGCTTTGAACTGCTGTTTTCCTATGAAAAATACAAAAACTTTTAAGAGCAAAGGGTCGAAACCTATGCCATACGTAACGAATACACAATAATCTTTTCTTTTAGAGTACGAAGCTGAAGCTGTGATTTAGAGATGTATTTAACTCCTGCTACCCTCTATGGCCTCAGGTTATCATTTCAACAGGTAAAAGATGACACTTGTTTCAGTTAGAGTCCCAGGCTTTGCAAACTCCGGTGATACCGTATTCCGCAAAAGTATTCGTCCACCGTTTAAAACAGAATACCTCGTTTAAAATTGGTCCGAATGACTTGAGATTTTTCGAGAGGCTGTACAAATTAATTTACTAAGATATGTGCTTTTGTCGTTTTAAAAAATTACAATTTGTCGAAATTGGAAAAAAAATTCCAACTTTTTTATCTGAGTTTGCAATAAAAATTTAAAATATGACAAAAAAGTATTCTGTTTGAAACGGTAGACGAATACTTTTACGGCCCACTGTGTTTCTGCACCATGTTACTTGGGCATATCGTGCATTTTTATTAATTTGCATTATTTATTTCAGGGTGCCGTTACGTCTATGCTCCGCAAGAATATAGTCGACCGAAACATAATGACATCAGCCTTTGTCCTTGCAACCGTTGGTCTCTCAATGAGCATATTTTCTGTGAAGAAGATGTTGACTTCTAAACATCGGGTTCATTTGTAACAATTTTCAACGAGATCATTAGCAACAGATCAACACTGAAGAACAAAGAAGAAACAGACGAGAAGACTGTCTCATCAATATGATTTCACATATTCGAACTATGTATGCGATATCTTTGCGACGAAAATTCATGACCGTATCTAGGATAGTCACCTAACATTAGGAATCTTGTATAATTAATTCATTGGCAAGGCAAAGTGTTTTCAATCAATAATCGTTATATCAATCTGGTCTAAATAAGTCATAGGATGTTACTTCTAATACCCTGATCTTCGAAGAAGGTGTAATCGCGAATGACGTAGTTTCGTTTGGATGATAGGTATTGGTAATTGAGAAGATATGTGTCGTGGAAACGAGTAAAATTCAATTACGTCTCGTAAGGGAAGAAATTTTTCTCAGAAAGTATCTCCAAGCGAAAGAAGATTTTGTTTAAGTATTCGTAGAGGAAAGGTGGTTGCGTTCTAGCGATTTTAGAAAATTATTAACTCGTAAGAACGCATTTTGACAATGTTAACTTTTGAAGAACAAGATCAACCAGTCATTAAGGTTTTACTGTGATCGTTGTTATTAAATTGAATCACGAACATTGATGGCTAAGTTATGTAAGCACAACATTGTATATTTATATAGATGTATTGTCATAGTCGATCATACAAATTTTCTGCCACCACAAGATCGTTAACGAGCTCTTTTTTTTTAAAATTATCTTTACTTTTCCTTACTCTTTGATCCTACCAATTTTGTGTTTTTATAATTAGATTCCATCGAAAAATGGATTTCTTTTTCGGTAGCTTTTTTGATATCGTTGGGTATATAGTTCTTCCTTAACTGAAGCAATGAACAGCGACATAATCATTTACCATTAGACTTAACGTGTACATTTATTTATAACTATTATACAGTCTCACACTCGATATTTCTTGTCGCAACGTCTCGTCTAATATATTCTTCCACATTCGTTCTTTCACAAAACCTCTCGACGCTTAGTCTGGCAAATTTTCTTTTTTATTAAAACGATCTGATCCACACCACAGGGAAACATCGACGAGATGAACCGTTATCGAATATCATCATACGTAAAAGAATGTTCCTTAGTGTGTAAAAAAATATCGGATTTCTAAACGTTTATTCTTTTGCTTCTTTTTAGTCGATCCTTCCCTTTGTGTGCATGCAGTACTCGCACAGAAAATATACAAATATAAAGGGTAGTTATAGAATTAACAATTTCACGATCGTCGGACCGCTCGATCCTTCGATAGGTCAAGAGAACTTAAAACGTAACGTAGAATAAAACTGAGGAGAGAAACGTTAACGACGATTATTTAACAGTTTGGTAACGGTTTAGCGAATTGTCCAGATAACTGTAACAATCTTTTATTTTTTTTTTTTATTTTTGTGTATAGCAGCAACTCCTACCACGACTAATCGACTCGAATATTCGTGTTGTACTTAAAAGAAACTTTGGCAATCGCTACGCTTAACATACTTTGGCAAATTAAATGCATCTCTCAATGGGTCTATCTGTCTCTTCTCTTCGCCGATTGTAAAAAATGGACAAATTGTGTTTTATTTTTTGATCTTACGCTAACGCGAAACGAACGAATAGGAGAGGAGAGCCGAGGATAACGAAGAAAACCGGCAAGGCAAGTTTCTTCGTATTCCTCCTCTGTTGTTCGTATTTTCCTTACATTTAATACGCTAGTGGCAGTCTGGCAGGGAGGCAAGTGATTGTCAAATCGTTCGACAATCAAACGGTACACGATTTCACGTGCGTTTCGTTCGGTAATTATTATTATTTTATCTTGTGCGAGACAGGACCAACACACACGAATCCAAGGAAGAAGCGTATCTCATTAACACGAAAAAAGAAAATTGACTTTTTCACATTTATGTATTCGTTTCTTCAATTATATTCGAGCTGCCCGACGATATCGCGTTTCGCTTTTACGAGATACGTAGAAGATTTCACTGTTTTCACGATGTAAAACATCTTTTCTTTAGACGACCTGTATAATTATTGCGAATGCAACGTCGAAATACATGTTTGTTCGTAAAATGAAGAAAAAGAAAAGATGTTCTCGTGAAAGATAAACGCGTTCCTAGGCTACGCAATTATAACACTACGCGAGAATCAATATAGGTATTGAGTTTACTCTGAATCTCGTGTTTTCTTCTACAGCATATCGTTCCATATCTATTGTTCGAGTATGTCGTCCCTTCGTCAATCCCCAGAGTAGATATCGCGATATTAACTGTGTTTCTATTGATTTCGATTTGGTAAAGGTCGATGGCCTGGCTAGTTTATGAATTATCATCATCATCATCTTGATTTTCTCGGTAAAAAAAATGGGTACATCTGCAATCTTAAAAAAGAAAAACGATGAACTATAATTTGCCCCTTTCCTCGAAAATGGTGTAAAAGAAATATCTTACACACTCAATCCTTTCTTTTCTTTTAATCGTTCTAATTCATATCGAATCTACAAGTACGTAATTACAACTAAATCGATCCACGTTCATCAGTTTGTATCGTATACTTCCAATAAACAAAAAGCACTAATTACAAACTGTTGAAAGCAAAAAAAAAAAAAAAAGATTAAGAGGAACCTGATCCTTTGAAACGTTTTACGTTTTTTAATCGAGATCAAATCTCGCGCTCTGTGTGTGTGATTGGCCCCCATCCTACGTAAGAAGACTCCATAGAAGTCATTTAGGATAGCGTTAAAAATTTAAAAAAAGAAAAAAAAAAATGAAGAAGAAGAGAAAAAGATAACTGAATCCATGCACTTGGTGCAAAGACTGTTTGTCCCTCGATACTAACATTTATATATATATACCTCATAATATAATAAAATACGTAACTTTGTTATCTCGTTTCTTTTCTCTCATATGTTCTACGTGAAAGACGTTTCAGCTTTTAAAAACTGCGATAATCCTTTTGTTTTCGGTATAGTCTCGAATACGAAGTATCATATAAAATCTGCAATAAAGTAGAAACATTTTAATACGCTCGGTTCTGAAACAATTTGTCAAATAATTTCAAATATCAAAACCAATATTTGATGTATCTAAAAAAAAACATCTCACATTCAAGTCCAGACCCCGCTGTGTATTCTCTCTTTTGCATTCCTCTTCCACGATCAAATTTCTTTATCTTTGTACAAAATCCTATAAGATCACACATTGAATCGAATCGATCATTTTTCTTCATTTCTTTTTAAATGCGAAACCATATTCTTCTAGCATGAAACGAGCCCAGATTCTCATCTAACGAGTGTGGTTCGCTACGACGAACATCAACACGAAAATGTGCATTTTAACGTTTTCTATGGGCCGCAGAAATTTTTCTCGATACTCGACTAATTAACACCTTATCGACGGACGACATTTACCTTGCAGAAAAATTGAATACCGTCATCTGTTACGACCTCGGTCATTATTTTACATTATTACTTGTTTCAAATATTTTATCTATTAAAAAGAAATAAAATTGCCACTCCTCTCTACGTGTTTTTACATCCTCGTGTTAACTGGTCCCGTTGATAAGGTAGTTAATCGAATTTGTTCTCTCATGCGATATATCAAGTAAATAGTTACTTCTGTCTACGACAAAGTCGGTGCTCCCTTAGTACTTCTATCAACGTTTAGAAACATAGCGCTTATTTCTTAAGAAGAATATCAATTATTCGAGATAAGACACCTTAATACGTAGTTAACATTTTCAATTCTTTTTTCCTCCCAACTTCCAATACTCTTCTCGTCGATATTTAGATTAATGAATGAATGATCCGCGTGTTACTAATCACTCTTTAAACTTCCAAAATACACAGAGAAACATGTAACTATCGGTACCTGATGCAATCGTCTGTAAAGATATTCAAACATTTCTGGTCCATTCGAGACTGTAACAATGTGAACGAAACGCGTGAACAGTTAGGTACATATTGAACACCGTATAATTCAATCTTACCGTTTAAAGTACGAGCGAAACACACAGTGTATTTTACGTATGTCTCCTTTTCGTCGGTCTGACTCGTAGGAAAAAGAAAAACACCAACAGAAACTCCGAATAGACCAGCGCTAGTAGAAACTTTGCTTAGGGCACAATAGACGCACCCGTTTGCCCCGTCTTATAAGAAATTCTTCTTGGCATACTATAAAGTGAACGTACATAATATTATTCGTATTTGTAAAAGCTGACGTATACTTTATGTACAGGGTGTTAAGAGAGTAATAACCGTGGTTTACACAGAATCATATTTGTAAAAGCCAGGAGCATTGCTTTCTTAACGCCCTATGCGATTGGAGTGCGTTCGTTTAACAAGCGATAAAAATATGCAAAGGCTGAGCGTACTTTTCTTGCCCGCGTACCACGTATGTACATGTATACGTACTCGAATGCATATACACACAGAAACACGCGAAATCCTTCGCCCGTTCTTAATTCGGTTAAAATCGTATTCGTAACCCTGGATCGTAAACGCTAACCGTCGTATAACATGTGCCGACAAATGTCTACCTGTTTCGTTACTCGATACACTCAAATTCCGTGCGTCCCGATTTACCCGAAGTATAGGTTTTCCGTGCTCGTTGAAACTGTAAACTGTCGCTCCGTCCAATTTTCCGGTGCATCGTCCTTTTCCTCTGAACGCGAAGGAAACGTCGATGTAGCATCGGCGATCTCTCAGCACAATTTGAGCTTTTCCACAACCGATCGATCGCTGCGTCCTTTTGTGTCCATTACGAATATCTCTCCTTCGAACACTTCCGAACACCAAGCTCTCGCTAGTACACTATCAAAGCGAGCAGATAACACCGCTTCGCGAGAACAATGATCGTACCTCTTTCTTTTTTTTTTTTTTCTTCTTTTTGCACTGTTTTTCACTGGCTGATTATTGCAGAAGATTCGAACGAAAGTGTGAACTCGCGATAAGGGAAACCAATCGACGATGACAACAACAGCGTGCGAATAGCTCTTCTTCTTTCCGTGTTCGTGTTTTTCCCCCGCATCCACGAAGGAGAAAGGCATACGATCTTATGACATCGAAGAACAGGGTAAACGCGGTGAGCCCATCTGCGTGAGTACCCTATCGAGCCATTGTAAAGGACCGTTTAAATGCAATTCGATCCAACAGGGAGTCGATGTCACGGTCTGCCTGCGATACGCCGCTCCCCAACCTTTCACGAAACTCATTCTAATCGTGCACATACGAGTCAGTTGGTACACCGCCTCGAACCCTTGGGAAACCGATTGCGACAACAAAGCAGCGAATTCCTGGTTGTTAAATATCTTCAAGTTGCAGCCTGCAACAACAAAGTCCTGAGAACTGATTCCTGTGTAACGTAGCTCGATTAAGAAGATACCTACCGGGTGGTATTTTACAAACGGTAGCCGGATGCCAACCGTAGCGTTGATTGCAATTAGGACTTTGAACGAAGATGCTCGAATCAGACAAACATTCTGCGAACACTTCTCCACCGATGTAGTACAGTCTGGCTCCTTTACCGATATGTCGTCTCGTCTGTTCGACTACAGTGTTACGGTTCACGTTCGACAGTAATCCCAGACAAAAGCGTTCGGAGTTACTTGGATCGGTAAATCCATCTACCGTGATGCTGGGCTGGGACGCGTGGAACGTTTCGCCCACTCTCGTATTCAGTTCGTAGTAACTTATCGAACACCTGGTCAATGCGAGAAAAAAAGAAATATAATATAAGAATGGAGTCGCTTTTGAACTGTACACAATTCTCGAGGAATAATCGAACACACCAGAAAGCTGGCTCGCAGTACATAACTGGTTGTGCGTCTACGGGGCTGGGAGACAAACGAGACAGAGACATATTGTCGTTGTGATCCATGTTATCGCCATCTTCGCTTATGTAGCCTGGAGGAGGAGTATCGGCAGGAGGATCCATGGATCCCGGCGCCGGATGCGGCGAACCCTGAACGCTTCCTAAACTACCGACACTGGCCGGACTCGTTGCTTGCATACCCTGAAAAAAAAAGAAGCTTCGAGTTAGAACTGGCAAGTGGTGGTTGACCAACTAATCAAACTCTCTCTCTTTAAATTGTACTTTGATACTAACTTGCATTCCTTGATAGGGATTGTTCGTCGGTTGCTGTTGCTGCTGTTGCTGCTGCGGTTGTTGCTGTTGCTGCGGTGATTGCGGTATACTCTGCTGATTATGGTGCTGATGGTTCAAGGTAGCGTGGAAGTTGGTGTTCTCCGGCACGCTGACGCTCAACTCCTCGAGGGAGGTGTTGTAAAGGACGGACTCGTCCCCGGCTAAACTGTGCCGCGGTACGAGGATAGCTGGCAAAACTGTAAGTTTTTCATTCGGTTAACAATTGCGTAATCCCTACGAATCGTTCAAGGATTCGATGTTCGTTAATGCAGCCTACCTGGCGTTTGTATTCGTTGATAGTGGTACGGATTCACGCAGACTTCGTCCCGCTTCTGCGTGAACGCGTACTCGCAATGCTCGATTGCTCTCAGCTCGTGGTGCGACTGCAAATCCGGCCAACGCCAAAGACGACAGTAGATCACGTGCGGCAGGCCTTTGCCGCGTACTCCTTGGACACCGTTGTCGCCGACACCGCCCGGGCTAGGCCTTTACAGAAAGAGAAAAATACCATTCAATTGATTCGTTTGATTTTCCAGAATTATTCCTAAACATACACAGAGCAGATCGCCATTGTTCGAATTCCACCCCTACAATTTTCTATCCGATCGGAAGGACTCGATTTACATTAAAATGAAACTCTCCTGTCTCCACTAATCGCCATCGACCTACGTAGCATCGGTGAAACATCGAGCTTTAAGAAGAGCAACACGAGTTCACCGTCGTAAACTCTCACTTTAATCTTGCTCCCTCGGCTTCTGTATTCGCGTCTGCCGCGCCGGAAGCGGTGGCGCCTACCGACAAAAAGAAACCAACCCGTCCTACCTTCGGTTCAACGTTTTTCTCTCGACACCGGCTGACTGTACGACCGGCGCTTGTACATCGAAAATCGTTCGACGACCAACAACCGTGTACGTATCGTTCTTTACAAATCATTCATTTAGTCTTTCGCTGATAGACCCGATCAGCTGTTTTCTCAGCGGACAGTGTGCCGGGTATTATGGAACACCTTGTACATGACCGAAAGCACAAAACGCAAGTCATAGCTGTCTCTCGCAATGATTTCGAGAAAACGTTTTATCCGAAACCGATTGTTACGTAGCAACAATCTGGTAACAACAATATCGTGTCGATTGCTCCGTGAAAGATCAATCATTTTTAATCATTATCAATCATTTTGAATGTAAGTTCGATAAGAATAATTGGTGAGTCATCTGGCACAGAGATGCGAGAAAGGAATAATATACTCACTGGTTTAAAAAATGTAACTCGGGACGGAAGGCGGGTTGGCGCGATTAAGCGAGAGATAACCGAGATAAAGAATCCGGCTAGACGAATGACAAAGTTCTATCGGCGAATCACAGAAACGTAGTCATCTACGGTCTCTGTTCGTTCTGCAATTTCAGTCATCTTGCTGACGCATGCAGCACTAGCTGGTTGGCTCGAGGACACGGAGTCGCGTTCACCGTGAAATTCTTTCCACGTATGCATCAAACGAGAGGCGCGACTTAATCGGGTTTAATCGTCGATTACACGGTGAATCGGACGCTGTGTGCTCCCACGTTTTTTAAGAACGAAGAAAGGAAAGAAAACAGCCGGATACGTGAGACGTGCAATGTATTTTCTCATCGATAGTCTCGGTTTATTACAATTAATACCGCTTTAAATTTACAAATTTAATCCATGCGTAGAATAATTTAGCGTATTGCACCGGCCTCACGTATTGTCCTCAACAGCAATGATGTTTCTAGGTTCTCTAGCGTTTCCAGACGAAAAATAAGAAAAAAAAAAAAATAGCTAGACTACAAGGATTGTCGCGTCTCCCGCTAGAATACGAATGTTTTTTAAAGCACCGGTTCGTTCGTGCTGAAAACAACGCTCATTGAATACCAATAAGGCAAACTCGCTAATGAATGAACGCTCCTTCCAAAGAGTTTATCGTTATCTTAATTAATTTCGATCCGGAGTAAAGACAAGATATTTTACGATCAACCAGGGACAATTATTCTTTTCGGCAGTCCCCGTATAGTGCACCAAATAATCAATTTATTGATAGAATGAATTTTCCAATTGCGTTAAAGTAAAACTTCAATTAATTTATTTTGTATAAAATGAACATACAGGTGACATGGAATGAAGTTCGTATTCAGATAAATTGGTTACAAGTATTATTTTTCCACATAATAAAAATCATCTTATTCCAAAATTCAAGAGTTGGGTCGCGGGCCGCGGCCCGCGGGAGCTCGTCCGAATCAACCCGACCGTACCCGACCGAACCCGATTTTTTCCGAGTCCGCCCGAGCGCGTAATATCGGGTACCCGCACATCCCTACACCAGAGGGATCATTTACGATACCAGTTTTCTCGCCAGTACTCCATTCAAGTGTTCCTACATTTATAGAACCTTTCGAAACAAGTAAGGGTATCTTGAAATAAACCACTTCCCTTTCGTCCTAGCTTTTAGAGAATACAATTAATCAAGACGTGGACGCGACAAGAACAATTAACATTAATCTGGTGTAGGAATTTGAACGTTGAATGAATCATATTGTGCTTGGAAACAAGACACTCTTCGTTTGCTATACATTTCGATTCTGATTTTTTTTAAATTTCTTATAGTTCTTCTGTTATAAGAATCAGGATATTCGTTCTATTCGATGGAAAACGTAGCTGCTGTGCTGCGAAATCTGTGTCGCTCGTTTTCTACATAAACGCTACCTACCGTATCGATTGTGTTACGTAAACATCAATTAACTTAGCAACCGCTCCAGAGTATCTCGATAACGCGTTCAATCCTGCGATTGGAACAGGACTTCTTTATCAAAAATATCGGTCGGTTGAGCAACAACGATATCCCACGTTCTCTCGTTGAAGATCGATTAAAATTATCGAAAGTCTAATGATTCTTTGAAAAACAGGAAAGGGAAAGTAATAAGATGTAACTTTCACCTGATAATAGAGCGTGATTCCCCGACGGATCCTGAGCAATTGTGAAAACGGACTAACGTCGCGACGAGTATCGAAACGATGAAATAGAATATCGAACGGATCCTGCGGAGTCCTGTATGTATCTCGATCGATCGATCGGAAAATTCCACGAAAGCATACCTCGTATCGCTGAAATGGGAAAAGAATTTTGCGCAAACGCAAAACACATGCGTTTCGTTCGAGTTACAGAAGGATCTGCCTTTCTCGATGGACAGACTTTCCCTCTCTTCTCTGCATATCCTTGAACGCGCAACAACGTTGGCTAGGATTACTATTAATAAAATCGTTACGAACTATACGTACCACCGCTACAATCGATTCCGATACGTGACTTTATTTATACGAACTACTTCGATCTTAATCCGATTACAATTGTCGCTAACGATAGCATTATCAATATTTATCGATCAATTTAAAAGGGCGCGTAGTGTACTAATGAATAAATGATTTCCAATGATTATTTCTTTTTTCATTGCTTGCACGGTGCTTGAATCGCCCACCGGAAAACTTGCCTCGTTTTGTTGTTGTATCGTTGTAAATTTATTTGTTACGCGATGTACGCAGTTCATATTATCTGACGTAGCGATAAGATAAAACACGGCCGTCCAGTGTATTTTGACACGAACCTTTATTACACCTGTTTGAATGAAGCGAAAGAAAAACGATAAGTTACGCAGGAAACGCGTAATTATTCTCGATAATCGAAAACTGCGATCGATAGATGCCGTGTATCGCGAACTCGAGATGCTCGCTAAATCGAAAGTAAAATCGACGTAACCTCGAAAAGATTCTCTCGTTGAAGAATAGTGCAGCAACGTGACACGCACATGTCTCATTCCACAGTACATTTTTCAACCGAAGCAGACGTTCGCGCGTTAATTATTTCATTGCCTCCAAAAAACTTCTTTTGAACAACGTTACAAGTTTCTCATTTAACTATCGCGATCGCATCTTCCTTCAGTTTGTTACGTAATTGTTAAGATAATACAACATATAAAACAGTTTGAAATCGAAAACTATTTTCGTTCGCTTCTTTGCTTTTTAATTATCACTTTTATCGGATAACTGCCAAAAAGCTACAAACACGAAACGTACGTTTGAACACTTCGCATTTAAGTGAGAACTTTGAAGTAGCTTAATATACAACTGTTGAAACTTGAAAATTCTCTGGCAACATTACATCATTGCATTTTACCTGTTCGCATAAGCTTAAACTTGTTTCGATACAAATCGAGATATAAACATGCAACGATCGATATCGCGTTAAAAATCGAAAGACAGTTCGTTCAATAGGTATTATTAACACGTTTTTCGAACTCATTTTACAGCTCACGTTTGTTTACCAACGACCAATTGTACAAGTTTTTTATTCTTAAACAATTCGCGTTACATTATTTATTTATATAACAGATTGTCACACGTTTGTAAGTAGGTATATGAAAATTGTAGAAATACTGGATGCGATAAATGCGTTGACAAACAGCAGAAAGCAATTATTCGTACACATAGTTCATGGTAAAAGAGAAACGTCAATGAGTGGTCAAGTTGTGATATATACACGCATAGATACGTAAATCTAAACGATGAACACACGCAACTGCTTTTTATGTCTGATGTTTCGGTAAAAATCTAAATAAATATAAAAAACGAAGCTTTTGCATGACTCACCGGTTATATAAATAAATATATAGAAAAACGATGATACGAGAAGAAAATGTGTAATTCGGATTGATTACAATATCTATACCCGCAGAAAAGTATGCAAAGTGAGCGTACCTTGGTATAGTAATGCACTTAGTGTTGCAACTTTGTGTAGTAATGGCCTTCTCGAGTTCCTCGAGGCCAGTGGATTTTTTCAATTTTTTAACGAGGCTTTTAACAGCTTTTTCACTCCATTTGTCTTCTCCTTCGGCTTTCTTCCAACCCAACAATCGTTTAACGATAGGCGGGTTAAAGCTGGATAACATCGAAGTCATGATTTGCGCTACAAAAATTGCGCGCGACCCGCATCGGTCTGTTTCAACGTGTTAAAACACGAACAAATATTCACTCGCGGTCTTGGCTACGTAACCCGAACAGGGTTACTGTACTATTAACGTTTACCGTGAAATATTAAATCGACGAACACGAATTTCTCATACGGGCGGCGAAAACTTTGCCACGGCCGCCATAGTGTTCCTTGAACGCATTCGATCAAATTCGGCAATCTTCGGCCAATTTCGAAGTAGTCATTGAATATACGCTAAGCAGAGAGCAACAGCATCAAAGCTTTCTCAAATTTTCTTTCAATTTTAATCATTTATTTGAATATTATAATCATATATTTTTATTACTATGCTAATCACTTATAAAATGATTCTTTACAATTACACGGAAACGATGAATTTAGGAAAAATAATCGTATTCGAAGATTTTATGATAAACTTATAATCGTATGCATACACTATACATACGAAGTCATAAAAGTCCGTGGTAAAAGATTATATTCAATTTACGAAACATAGCGATTGGTTGATTCTAAGTATCTAACCTAACAAAGTGATAGCTTAAAATCAGAGTGGCCAATCACTCGTGTTTAGTGCAAATTTTCTTTATTTCTGATGTTATTTTGACATAAATATATTTATTGAGCATGTTTGTCAATCCCAATTTATTATTAAAAACAAAAAGTTGTTACACAATTTAGCAGGCATTTGATGAAAACTTATCGGACCTGACTATTTTAAAGACGGAATAATTAATAATAATTATTGACAAAGTGTATGTTTGATTTGTATATAAGCGCAATGAATCGTGAAGGTAAATTTAATGTTTTAAAATTTTCATGAATTTATACCAAGAAGACATGATTATTAACACATATGAAAATGGATATAGACATGAATTTTTATTTCTATGATTTGTGTAATCTACTTAAAGGTATAATTCTAATATAGAATTAATTTATTTGCAGATGATAGAAGTGATTCAGAAGATGAACACGATAGATCTAGAAGTCCGTCTGCAGATTCTCAGAGGTCTATTAGAAGTAGATCAAAATCAAACTCTGCCAGTCCTTCTCCAAGGTTGATAAGCTGTACACATCTAAGTAATTATAAAGTACTTTTTATAATATTAATACGGTCTTTAAAATGTTCTTTTAGATCTAATCAGTCGTCTCCTACACAGCCAAGGTCACCAACTTTTGAACCTTCAAATACAAATTCTAGAAAATCTTACTCTAGATCACCCTCTCGTTCACCTGTACGAAGTCGATCAGCTTCACCTTCTTCCATAAAGAATCAAAGATCATCTAGATCTAGCTCAAAGTCTATAGAAAGAAAAAGCATTTCAAAGTCTAAATCTCCATCTCCAGAACCACATGGAAAGGTTGTTCAAGGTGAACCACAATCACCACGTTCAGTTGGATCACCAAAATCACCCTCAAGATCAAGAAGTTCTTCGTTGGCAGAATCAAGAAAAAGTTCTGATGCAGCATCGCGAGAACATTCACGATCTAGATCTAGATCGAGTTCGGCCGAACGGAGTAATCCACCGTCTAAATGTTCATCGCCAAAAGCGAATTCGCGATCTTGCTCTAGATCTCCATCCCCATCGGCGTGTTCTAAACCGCGTTCTCCATCAAATTCCCGTTCTCCTCCTGGATCGCCAAAAGTAACCGTCAGGTCCCGTTCTCGTTCAGGTTCACCAAAATCTCAAGCCCGATCTCGATCACCTTCGATTAGCCCGATTCGAAAATCGCGCAGTAGATCAAGATCTCCCTTAAATGAGAAAAAAGCATCTCGTTCTCCATCACCTACAGAGAATCGTTCGTTATCGCATACTAGAAATTCTCGATCGCGTTCTAAATCAAAATCCCCGTCGTTGGATAGATCGAGAAAAGGTTCGCCCAATTCTCAAAAGAGTTCAAAGTCACCTGTATGTTCTCCGGATAGCAAACGTAAATCGAGATCTCGCTCGAGATCTGGCTCTGCATCAGAGAAACATTCACCTCCGGTATCTCGCAAAGGATCCATATCTAGATCACCATCCGCGGAACCAAAAGTTCCGTCGCACTCGAAATCAAGAACACCATCAGGTTCGAGACACGGTTCAAGATCGAGATCGCGTTCAAAATCTGGTTCTAGAAAATCGGTTTCAAGATCAAAATCAAGATCCGTGTCAGGATCGCGAAAGGGATCACAGTCTCCGCATTCAAGAAAAAGTTCTCGTTCTCGATCAAGGTCCAGTTCCAGGTCGTCCAAGTCTAGATCTCGGTCTCGTTCTAGCTCAAAAGCGTCTCGTTCTCGATCGCGTTCAGGATCACGATCAAAATCGAGATCAAGATCGCGATCAAAATCCAAATCTCGTTCGGTATCACCGGCTGTGTCGCGTTCTAAATCACGATCCCGTTCGCGTTCGCATTCGCCTCCACGATCGAGATCAGGATCCGCTGCTGGATCCAGACATTCGTCTCCGTCGAAATCGAGATCTAGATCACGGTCAGTATCAAAATCCAGAAGATCAAGGAGTCGTAGCGAAGATTCTGAGAATGCTGTTAGAAAAAGAAACAGGGTTTTATCCGATTCCGAAGAAGAAGGGGATGGTATTAAAGCAAGTAAAAAGTCGAAACACGGAATAACAGATTCGGAAAACGAAGGTGACGATGATGGAACAGGAACGAAAAAAGACCAAGCCGAGAGAGAAGAAGAAGGCGAAGAAACAGGGAACAAACAATTTGGAGAAGGTGTTATCAGTGAACAACAAGAAAATGAAGATTCTGATGATGGAATCATTACAGGAGGAGGATTGTAAGTTGATAAAATTTTATATTTGAAACATTACAGAAAAATGGAATACATTGTGGAAATAATTCATTTTAATAATTTAACATATGTCTGTCAGGAGTAGCAGATATATGTAAGTAATAGCATGTAATAAAAAATGAAGCAAACGATAATTTTGCTCTGTTAAAGTAATGAATGACGCATTATGATTACTAAAGGCAATAATTGACTATTTTAATTTTCAGTGATGATTCATTATCAGACTTTGATCGCATGTTGGCTCGTAAAAAAGAGGAACAATCACGAAGACGAAAAAGAAAAGATATTGATATAATCAACGACAATGACGATATTATAGCGCAACTTTTATCCGATATGAAAACAGCATCAGAAGAAGACAGAAAATTAAATCAACAAAATAAGCCAGCTACTAATAAAATCGCTATGTTACCAAAAGTATTATCACAACTTAAGAAACATGATTTACAATTAGCCTTTTTGGAACATAACGTATTAGCAGTTTTAACAGATTGGTTAGCTCCGATGCCCGACCGATCATTACCCTCTTTAAAGATTAGAGACAGTCTTTTAAAACTTTTATGGGAAGTAAGTATATACTTTTGATGTTTCTATACTTATACGATAAAAAATAATATATGATTAATATACATTTCAGTTTCCAAGGATCGATCAAGGTTCTTTGAAACAGTCTGGCATTGGCAAAGCTGTAATGTATCTTTACAAACATCCAAAAGAAACTAAAGAAAATAAAGAACGTGCAGGAAAATTAATTAACGAATGGGCACGTCCGATATTTAATTTATCAGCAGACTTCAAGGCTTTATCGAAAGAGGAAAGAATGCAAAGAGATTTAGAACAAACGCCTCAAAAAAGAAGAAAAATCGAAGAAGGTGGTTCTTCTCAAAAATCTCAAGATATTAATAAAGCTTTGAAAGGGGATGCTAAGTATGGATTCTTTTAATTTTTGTTCACAAGTAATTAATTTTATTCAAATATTAATAAACTTATTTCATTTAGACCATTAAGGCCTGGGGATCCCGGCTGGGTTGGAAGAGCTAGGGTTCCTAGACCTTCCAATAAAGATTATGTCATAAGACCAGACTGGAAGTCAGATGTCGATATTAGTAGGGTGAGTATTGACTATTTCGTGCATACCTATTATTAGTAAAATAACATTATTAAACTAACGATTATTAAAATATTTTAACAGAGTACTAAAAAACAAATGAACAGATTTGAAAGGCACATGAAGAATTATATAGATAATAAGAGGATAAAAGCAACTAGAAGGGCTGTGGATATATCTATTGAGGGTCGTAAAATGTCTTTATAATGTAAGCACTTTTTAACCCAAATGAGAATGTTGGACTAGCAAGGATTGTGTAAATGTACAAACACAAAAATCCGTAATTTCTTTATTAAATTGCTTAAGTTTAAACTGTAACTGTAATTATCAATAAAAGTTTAACAAAAATTTTCATATACATTTATTTTTACAATAACGAATAAGGCAATACATTATTTTTTGTCAAAAAGGAAAGTGATTTAAATTTTAGTGCTAGAACTATGTTTTAAAAATTTATAAGTTATACAAATTAACAATCTTAATCTAAATTAAATAAATTAGCAAAATGTATTAATTGTTCACGGAGTATCTATTATTCAATTTATTTTTTTCCAATATTTGAATCGGAATATTTCAGTATGGCTTCATTTCCGATTTGGTCACAATTACAGTGACCTTTTTCCGGTTTATCGTAGTACCATATACACGGCAAAATGAAAGCCAAAGGAGAAGTAAGTAAATGTTTAAAATTATATTTGAAAATTAATAAATTTCTTTATTAAGACAGATTTTCTAAAACCTCTAAACCTTATATTTTATAAAAGATTATTTATAACCATAAAAATAAAATGGAATTGCATACGGATATACACTTAACCTAAAATGCTATTACCGACACATGTTCAAATTATATTTTACGATTTCATTGTTAATTATAGTTTGTTTAATTAAAATATACATTAAGACAAATACTAATGAAAATAACTTTCAGTTCAGATCAATGCTAATCAATGCAGATCGATGGCCTTTTAATATGTCTAACCTTATCGTGTATAAATGTATTCAAATTCAATGTAAACTAATTAAATAATACTAATGTTATGATTTTATAGTTGAAAGAATTCGAGGTGATCGGCCGTAAGTTGCCGACTGAAAAAGAAAAGACTACTCCATTATATAAAATGAGAATATTTGCACCTGATGCTATTGTTGCAAAATCTAGATTTTGGTACTTCTTGCGTCAACTAAAAAAGTTCAAAAAATCTACAGGAGAAATTGTCTCTCTCAAACAGGTAATTATTAAATGAATTATACGTTATTGAAACCATTTATAAAGTACTTTAAATTAAACCTCTATTATTTTTCAGATTGCAGAGAAAACTCCAGTAAAAATAAAGAATTTTGGAATTTGGTTAAGATATGATTCCAGATCTGGAACTCATAACATGTACAGAGAATATAGAGATCTGTCTGTTAGTGGTGCAGTAACACAGTGTTATAGAGATATGGGAGCTCGTCATCGTGCTCGTGCCCATTCAATTCAAATTATTAAAGTTGAAGTTGTAAAAGCAGCAAACTGTAGAAGACCTCAAGTTAAACAGTTCCATGATTCCAAAATCAGGTTTCCATTACCAAAACGTATTCAGCACAAGAATCGTATGCCGCTTTTCAGTGTTCGAAAACCGCGTACCTACTTCCTTTAAATATTTTCAAAGAAATGTTTTACACAATGTCATTGAATATATAAATCTGATTCAATAAAGAAACAACATCTATTCTAACGTGATACCTTTTTCATTCTTCCCATTATCTAATAGTTATGTATATGGTTATTAGTTATTATGATTCATAAATGAGTGTAGTACAAGTTTATTTCATCATAGTGATTATTGTGGTAATAGTCATCATAATGACTACATAATGACTTCTCTCAACACTAGATATGACGGCTTTACCACCAAAAGAGGGCCCCTGGTGTCGGGAGTGGGGGCTCCAGACACCTTTGCACGCGGCTTAAGTAAAAGCCGGCACAGGGTGCGACCCCCAGTGTCGGCCACATGTTAGGCACCCGAGATGGGCACCAATGTGGCAGGCGTGGAGGGCTCCGGAGTAATATACGTAAGGTTCCAGAGCCCTTCTCTACTGCCAGTGTCGGTCGCCGTGGGGTTTTAGTCAGTAGGAATCTGACACTCCCCCGCCGCCCTCCCCCAGGGGTAGGTGGGGCGTCTTATGCAAGATTTCCCCACGTTAAAAAAAAAAAAAAAAAAATAAACGGCCACTGATTCGGGTAAAGATAAGTAAACATTGTTGCAAAACGTGATCCAGATTTCTCGCTTTGCAACATTACTGCGTAGCCAGCTGTCAACATTCCTTACACCTCTTCATCCCTTATATCCCAACATTCCTTACATCTCTGCATCCCTTACATCTCTGCATTCTTTTCATCCCTACATTCTTTTCATCGCTACATTCTTTTCATCCCTACATTCTTTTCATCGCTACATTCTTTTCATCCCTACATTCCTTTCATCCCTACATTCTTTTCATCGCTACATTCTTTTCATCCCTACATTCCTTCCATCACTACATTCTTTTCATCCCTACATTCCTTTCATCCCAACATTCCTTACATACCTGCATTCTTTTCATCCCTACATTCTCTTCATCCGTACATTCTTTTCATCCCTACATTCCTTTCATCCCTACATTCTTTTCATCCCTACATTCTTTTCATCCCTACATTCCTTCCATCACTACATTCTTTTCATCCCTGCATTCCTTTCACCCCTACATTCTTTTCATCCCTACATTCGTTCCATCCCTACATTCTTTTCATCCCTACATTCCTTTCATCCCAACATTCCTTACATACCTGCATTCTTTTCATCCCTACATTCTCTTCATCCGTACATTCTTTTCATCGCTACATTCTTTTCATCCCTACATTCCTTTCATCCCTACATTCTTTTTATCCCCACATTCCTTTCATCGCTAGATTCTTTTCATCCCTACATTCCTTTCATCACTAGATTCTTTTCATCCCTACATTCCTTTCATCCCTACATTCTTTTCATCTCTACATTCCTTTCATCCCTACATTCTTTTCATTCCTTCATTCCTTTCATCCCTACATTCCCTACATCTCTACATCCTTTATATCTCTGTATCCCTGACATCCCTGCATTCTTCATACATTCGCAACATTTTTATGCAAAATTTAGTTCTTTTTTTCGCCACCAGAGGGCGCTGATTCGACATCGAAATTTTAGTTCAAATTTTTGCCGCTAGAGGGCCAAAAATTGAGCATGATTTAGTTCCTTTTTCCAAAACCAGATGGCGCTGATTCGACATCGAAAATTTAGTTCAAATTTTTGCCGCTAGGGGGCGCTATTTTTCGAGACTCTCGCGAAAATCTCGATAAAATAGCGCCCCCTAGCGGCAAAAATTTGAACTAAATTTTCGATGTCGAATCAGCGCCATCTGGTTTTGGAAAAAGGAACTAAACCATGCTCAATTTTTGGCCCTCTAGCGGCAAAAATGTGAACTAAAATTTCGATGTCGAATCAGCGCCCTCTGGCGGCGAGAAAAGGAACTAAATTTTGCAAAATTTTTGACGAAAAACTAACTTACCTTTACTTACCATTACTCGAAGCAGTCTTCATAATATATTTATTATAAAGGATGCAGGGATGAAAGGGTTGAGGGGATGAAAGGAATGTAGGGAAGGGATGAAGAGCTGTAAGGAATGTAGGGAAGGGTAGAAGAGATGTAAGGAATGTAGGGAAGGGATGAGGAGATGGAAGGAATGTAGGGACGGGATGAAGAGCTGTAAGGAATGTAGGGAAGGGATGAGGAGATGGAAGGAATGTAGGGAAGGGATGAGGAGATGTAAGGAATGTAGGAAAGGGATGAAGAGCTGTAAGGAATGTAGGGAAGGGAAGAAGGGATGTAAGGAATGTAGGGAAGGGATGAGGAGATGGAAGGAATGTAGGGAAGGGATGAGGAGATGTAAGGAATGTAGGAAAGGGATGAAGAGCTGTAAGGAATGTAGGGAAGGGAAGAAGGGATGTAAGGAATGTAGGGAAGGGATGAGGAGATGGAAGGAATGTAGGGACGGGATGATGAGCTGTAAGGAATGTAGGGAAGGGATGAGGAGATGGAAGGAATGTAGGGAAGGGATGAGGAGATGTAAGGAATGTAGGAAAGGGATGAAGAGCTGTAAGGAATGTAGGGAAGGGAAGAAGGGATGTAAGGAATGTAGGGAAGGGATGAGGAGATGTAAGGAATGTAGGAAAGGGATGAAGAGCTGTAAGGAATGTAGGGAAGGGATGAAGGGATGTAAGGAATGTAGGGATGAAAAGAGTGGAGGGATGAAGAGAATGTAGGAATGTAAGGGATGAAGAGATGAAAAGAATGTAGAGGTGAAAAGAGTGTAGGGATGAAGAGAATATAGGGATGTAAGGGATGAAGCGATGTAAAAAATAAAGAAATGTAAGGGAGTAAAAAAATCAAGACGTTCAGTCTCCTAATGCGTTTATTCAATAAGTTAGAAAGACAAATACAGCAAAAAAACGAACGCAGAAAATAAAATATGGGTTATGTATGTTTGACAGGTACAACCATACTCCTCTGCATACCGACCTGATAGCATATAGGGGTATTATGGACCCTGAAACGCCGATGACTATCTCTGCATACCGATATTCTAACGTCTGGGGTGCCAAGGACCCCCTATCACTGGTGGTCTGGTTATACAGGCCTGGTTCCATCCTGGGGTATCTGGGACCCCGAAGTACAAACGTTAATCATTGCGTACCCACATCATGGCAGTTGGGGTTTCTTGGACCCCGAAGTACAAACGATGCTGATTGCATACCCACATCATGGCAGTTGGGGTTTCTGGGACCCCGAAGCACAACTGTCGCATTTGAATACCATTAATATGGCATTTGGGGTGTCTGGGACCCCGTAGCGCCTGCGAGACTGTTTCCATACCGACAGTTTGGTATTTGGGGTTTCAAGGACCCTGAAGCAACTAGCGAAATATAAGAACGAAAAACGAACAAATCGTGAAACTCACTTGTTCGGAATAGTGATGGGTTTGACCGGATCTAGCGAAATATAAGACCTAAAAACGAACAAATCGTGAAACTCACTTGTTCGGAATAGTGATGGGTTTGAGCGGATCTAGCGAAATATAAGAACGAAAAACGAACAAATCGTGTAACTTACTTGTTCGGAATAGTGATGGGTTTGACCGAATCTAGCGAAATATAAGAACGAAAAACGAACAAATCGCGAAACTCACTTGTTCGGAATAGTGATGGGTTTGAGCGAATCTAGCGAAATATAAGAACGGAAAACGAACAAGTCGTCAAACTCACTTGTTCGGAATAGTGATGGATACGACCTATTTCGATCCCGGGGTATCTGGGACCCCGAAGCACCGTTGATTCTCCCTGCGTATCGACATTATGGCATTCGGGGTGTCTGGGACCCCGTATCACCAATAACACTGCATACAGACATAATGGCATCCGGGGTGTCTGGGACCCCGAAGCATCAGTGACACTGCATACAGACATAATGGCATCCGGGGTGTCTGGGACCCCGAAGCATCAGTGACACTGCATACCGACATAATGGCATCCGGGGTGTCTGGGACCCCAAAGCATCAGTGACACTGCATACCGACATAATGGCATCCGGGGTGTCTGGGACCCCAAAGCATCAGTGATACTGCATACCGACATAATGGCATCAGGGGTGTCTGGGACCCCAAAGCATCAGTGACACTGCATACCGACATAATGGCATCCGGGGTGTCTAGGACCCCGAACCATCAGTGTTTGCGTATCGGTATTTTGGCATTTGGGGTGTCTGAGACCCCGTTGGTCACCAGTCCTCGAGAACAAAGGGATGTCCTGTCTTCTTGTATCTGTAGTGCCTGTTTTTAGTAGAAGAGATGTCGCTGACTTCAAATCCTATAATGGCGATTGTGCGTTCAATAAGATGACATACAACGGAATGAGGTCGGTGTTCGTACATTAAATCAACAAAAGCCTTTACTTAATATATTTGTCTTTTTTTGTAATGCATTAGAATGAATAAATGTTAGTAATGGGAGACTTGTTTGATATCGCAAATTTAATAACAACTGTCGGCGTTGATAAAATAAAAATTAAGCCGGAGCCTGGATTACCAGAGAAATCATCAAATGAAATATTGACAGAGTTGTTTAGTACATTTGATGCTGAAGAAGGAATAGTATCACCTATAAATACTGATCAGCAAGTTCCAAATGCTAATATTAAAATCGAAAACCCTAATGAAATTAAGATCAAAAAGAAAAAGTCTAAAAGAAAACATAAACATAAAGACAAAAAGCATAAAAAGAAATCAAAACGTTATTCCTCTGAGAGCAATAGTGATCTTGACAGTAACAGTAAGATATAATTGTTATTAATATTTGAAAATATAGGTAGGTATATATATGTGTATATTACTTACATTTAAAAGCAATTCTTTTTTGTAATAAATAGGTGTTAAGAAGAAGAAAAAACATAAAAAGAAGACAAAAAGGAAGCATGAAAATGATTCAAGTAGATCATCAGATACTGATGAACCCAAAAGTAAAACAACAAAACTTGATACTTATGATAACATAAAAAGGAAATGTCATAACAAAGATAATGGATTAGAAAAAAAAAATATCAGTGCATCAGAGAATGTCAAAGAATTAGTGTTAGTTAAAAATGAATCAAAGATAACAGATGCTTTTTCAAACGAGCCAGATAGTCCTCAATTGCCACCTATTTCAAAAAAAGTTCAGGATGAATCTGAAGAGCAGTTAATACCTATAATTCTTGGTTTGTATTATTTATTTGATAATTGTTCCTTCACAAAATATTATTTTAAATAAAATGTATTATTATTAAACCTATAAATTTGTATTACAATATTTTGTTTGTATATATAGAAAAACCAAAACAGGCAGTTCAAGGAAAAATCCTAATAAAAGACCTCAAAAATAGTGCAGTATATAATGAGACAGTGAAAGAAATAGAAAATAAAGAAAAAGAAAAGGCTGCCAGGATGGAAGATGGCGAATTATCTGATACTAGTACAGACAATAGAACATTAAGTCCAGGTCCAATACACTGTAGTTTACATAGATCATCAACGTTAAGTCCAAGCTTGGAAAAAGTGGAAAATAAAGGGTTGAGTCTTTCAAAAGGAGTAACTGCAAAAAATGATTTGAGACTTATTTTGAGAGAAAAAGAAAAGAAAAGATTAGGAGATGTGGATAAATCAAAATTATATATGGATAGTGAATATAAAGATAAAATATGTAACTATACCAATAAAACTGGAAGCAGAGATAGTAAGCATAGTCATAATTGTCATTTAGAAGAAAAGAAAAGATCTTCGGAATCTAGATCATGTACAAGTTCACATAGAAGTAGAAGCAGAGGTCGAGATAAACGAAGAGACAGAAGTACAGATCGACACGATAAAAGTCGAAGCAGTGATAGACAAAAAGTTACGAAATGTAGAGAAAGGCGAAGACATAGCAGAGATAAAAGCAGAGATAAGTATGGGCGGGGACGAAGTAGAAGTAGAAGTAGGGAACGAAAGTTAGTATGATTTATTTATTAATCTATAAGTATACTTGTTAATATACCTGTACGTAATTTCATTAATGTCGTTTGTAAATTATATATTTTTACATTTTATAAGGGAAAGAATAGAAATTGATAAGAAAAAATTGTTGGAAATAGCAAGGAGGAATGCAATAAATATGATTAAACAAGGAACATTACCATTAGTACAACAGGACAAAGCTATTGCTGCAATACAAGCTGGTGGAAAAACGGTAGATGAACTTACAGGTAAGCGTTTCAATTATTAATGTAAACATATGATTTCTTAATTATTAGTAACATATTTGATAGTTAAAGTAATTTCTTTGTTTTAGATTTTTGTAAATCGTTATCAAAATCTGAAGCATTGGGAGAACTTTCTAGTATCTCTTCAGAAGAAGATGGAAGTGAGTCTGAGAAAGGCTTTCATCATCCATTTCTACTTAAGGGACGACCTAGTTCTATTATAATGAATATTCGAGTGAGTTTGAAACAACTAACAAAGTAATAATATTAATAGTTAATTCGTTTATGTATTATTACTGGTATGTTTAGGATGCAAAACAATTGCCTACCAAAACATTCCAAGAAAAAACTGTAGAATCGTCAAACCAGCTTCGTTTACAATTTCCTGTATCGAGTGGACAACATCATAGAAAAAGCGGTAATATATCTATCTTTAACTATTTTTAAATATCTATATTTTGACTTGAATTTTACAATTTTTCAACTTTTCACAGAAAACGAGTGGGTACCAGTTACACCAAAAAAACCAGAACCAAAAAAGCAATTTGTACCACCTTCTGTACCGACTGAACCTTCTGTTATAATGCCTCCGACTGCTCCTGTATATCCAGTGCAATCAACTATTTTTCCCCAACCAACAGCGCCAGAGGTAGGAAGGAATATAATTCCCTGTTTAGATTTTTACATACATTATATGTATTTACAGACAGTGGATATTGGTTCGATAGTATCCCAAAGATTAGCAGCAATGAGAAAATTAAGAGAAAATCCAAATGATGTGTTTGCTCAGAATGAAATGTATCGTGCTCAAAATGAGGTATAAGATTAAATTGTGTCACATATAATTGTATATTGTATAACTGTATGATGTATAATTAACAGATGAAGACGTGGGCTGAGAGCAAACAAATGCCAGGGCAGTTTACTGGCAGTACTGGAGCCAAAGTGCTCTCACCTGCAGAACTTACTTCAGGTTATCAAGCCTGGGCTCGTAAGGTAACAGTATTACTTGCAAGATGATTATATCTCATTATTTGCCCTTTCATATTTGTTTGATCATTAAAATCTATTTTATAAATTATAACAGTAGTGTTTCATCTAATTATATTATTGCATATGAAATAGTTGATCAGTTATCATTATGGAACGTTAATACACATGTTGAAACATGTGTATTATATACGTTATAGCTTTTGCCTACTTTTTTTCTTTTCACCACGCATTGCCTGATACTGATATTGCCTGTAACAAGTTTTCAGGTACAGTCTCTATCAAGATCAATGCTATATCTAATATAGCAGATCTGATAAGAACTGTGATGTAGGCACAGACTATTTCTTATATAGAAGTAGATTCTGTGTCTGCATGGACACAGGAGCATCATTATTTTATATAAGAATTTCTATATTTAATAGATAAACGATGTAGCTAATATACTTTGCAGTTAATTTATAATGTGCAAGAAAAAATAATTGCTATCGAATATGTAATGAGCTCCTGTGAGATTATTGCTAATTATCATCAGCTTCCCATCTTAGGATTTCATCAGGAGTTATTGTATCTTTTTGTTATAAAGCTGGGATATTTAGCATTAGTCTGCATCCACCTGAGGGTTTGTTACAGGCACGTAGCTACATCAAAGAAGAAACAACTTCAGCGGCGTGATGTCGAATTTATGATTTTTTTTGGTAAGTATTTTCACCCAAAAAATATTTGAACTTAACATAATCAGTTACTACATTGAGATATCATAATTGGATATGGAGTAACGAAATTATATTTTATTATATATTGTTGTCATTCTTATTTTTTAATTTTGGTTGATTTTACAAAATTTATTATGTCCTAATCTAATAAACTATTTAGGATCAGTTAGTATCAGCACAGCCTGTTTCGGGTGGGATGGGTATGGCTTTACTACAGAAGATGGGTTGGCGACCAGGGGAGGGTTTGGGAAAAAATAAAGAAGGTACACTTGAGCCCTTGCAGCTTGAAGTAAAATTGGATAAAAGAGGCCTAGTTTCAGAACAAGATATTGGACAAAAAGTGGGAAAAGCTACAAAACCGCTAGTACCGGCAATTAAAACTTTGGAAGGTATATTTTAGTAATCGTCATACTATTAATTATTTGTGATATAATATGAATAAGCTGAAATTCGTATATTACAGGAAAACATCCAGTATCGTTATTGGGTGAATATTGTTCAAAGCGGAAACTTGGTGCTCCAGTTTATGAACTGTGTTTTGAATGTGGACCAGATCATAGAAAAAATTTTCTTTTTAAAGTATATAACTCTAATAGTTTACATTTTATTATATCATTAAATTGTACATATTTTCATCCAATATTATATTTCAGGTTAAAGTTAATGGAATTGAATATAAACCAAGTGTGGCAAGTCCTAATAAAAAACAAGCTAAAGCAGAAGCAGCACAGATTTGCTTACAAACTTTAGGATTATTACCTGAACCTAGTTCTATGCCTGTTTTAAAACCTTAGTTACTATAGTAGCTTGAAAAAGAATTATTACTTCTTTCAAAATAATAAATAAAAATGTAAAACAGTGTACAAAGTTTGTAAAGTTACAAAAAATAAGTTAAACATCTTTTCTAATTTACTATGTATATAATTAATTTAAGGTTTATATCTCATTGCATTTCACTTGTATCACTGAATGTTGAAATGTTTATTGCTATTTGTTATTTTAAATGTATGTACTAATACATATGATGTAAATAAAATGTACTTGTATATAATATATAATAAAAATCACATCTTTATGTATTACATACTCGCCTTATTTTCTCTAAAGTACTTAAAATATTTGTACATTGAATATACAGTATAAATTATATGTAAAATAAAATAAAAAAATATCGAACACAATGTTTACATTAAATAATTTAGAATGTTCAAGTTTGAAATTATAAAAATATGTTCTAAATATTTTATTTCACTTAATCATATGTGGTTTATTAAAAAATAATAATAATAATAATTTTCATTTTGATGGCATTGAGAATGAAGTTGGCGTTATGGTTAACGTCAAACTATACTATGGAGAAAGAAACGCCGGCAATTTAATTTCTACTGTGATGGATGATGTGGAGGAATCAATTTTTTACGACGATGAAGATGATTTTATCGGACACGAATATTTACAAGACGCTGAATATGAATACGAATTTGAAGAGACAGAACGAGAAACATTATTTGAATTATATCAATATTGCTTCTGTCCTACTGTTTACGATACAATTACATATATACTACCATTATTCATTTCTACGATTATATTTAGATTATGCGTTCATTCCCGTAAGATATATTCTTATAGATACGTATATATGTATATATAAACAAAGCGGTAAAATATGAATTTAAGTGCCTTACTTTTAATTTAATATTACAGGGCATGTGTCACAGAAAACTTTTCATGTACTGTCAATGTTAATTGGTATATACAATATTTATCATTATGTACCAGAATGTTTATATACCTTACTAGTATTTTGTATAATTTCATACACTATTTTATATGTACCTAAAAAATATTGTAAAAATCTAGCAATATTTTTGCCAGCCCTTTTTATTATTGCATATTGGTAAGTTACCAAACATATACCACAAACAATTATGTGTAGTAAAATTGAAGTATGTAAAAGAATAATGTTTCTTCTATAATCTTCACCTTTTTAAGCGAATTCTCTATGCCACCAATAACTTGGCATAAAATACGTAGTGTAGTAATGACAATGGCAATGAAAACAATCAGTGTAGCAATAGACAAAACAAAATCAAATGATTTACCTGATATTTATACCTATATGGGATACACTTTTTGTGGTGTCACATGTCTTTTTGGACCATGGATATCATTTAAGGATTACGTATCAATATATTATGCGAACAATCAGGTATAGAAACTTTTTGTTGCAAATTATATAAAATTAAAAGGTATCATTAATAATATTTTCTATTTCTCAGGGTAAGTGGTGGATGATCTATGCTATTCAATATGCGCTTTTATCTTTATTTTTTTTAACTATTTCAAATTGTTGGACACAATGGATAGTTATGGATAATTCTTGGAAGTTAGTAAAGAAAGAGAGCTTATAATTTAATTTCTTTACCGCATTGTAATACATATTAATATTCTTTCTCATTGCAGATGGTTATTAGCTTACAGAGATGCACTATCTTTTCGAACATCTCATTATTTTATTTCATTCATTGCATCCACTTTACTGTTATTAGGAGGATTTCCACTATCTTTGAAAACTATAGTAAAACCGTTAAAAATAGAATTTCCACGTTCACTTGTAGACGTTGTTGTTTGTTGGAACATACCAATGCATTTCTGGTTAAAAACATGTAGGTATTGATATCTAAACTCATTTGTGTATATTGAAATTATAAGATGTTCCATATTTAAATTGGTATCTAAATTTTTAGATATATTCCGTCCTAATATTAAATATTTAGGAAAATTCGGAGCCGTAACAATGACATATTTAACAAGTGCTCTCTTACATGGATTAAATTTTCAACTGGCAGCAGTTTTACTTAGTCTCGGATTTTATACATATGTAGAATATCGACTTAGATCTATGCTTGCAAACATTTTCGATGCATGTATTGCATCGAAATTATGTACAACCAATAAATGTACACATACATACAATACTCAGAATTGTTGGTGGGTGTTTTTAACAAATGTGCTATTTTCTGGACTATCAGTTTTTCATTTAGCTTATTTAGGTCTTATGTTTGATACATCTGAATTACAAGAAACAGGATACAATTACATTCATACTATTGAAAAATGGTCCCAACTTGGATTTGCTAGCCACTGGGTAATATTTGCTACATATTGTATATATTTTTTAATCAGATAATAATAGGTGCATAAGTTAAACATTTATCAATTTTCAATAATTTACACTTAAGTTTTTTTACTGTGAAATAGTTTAAGTAGGAAAAGTAGCATAATTATAAATTCTGAAAATAAGTAAAATACATAGTCTTTATTAGATTTATAACATAATATAAAGTAGATTTGCACGTATGTGTATATAAAGCACATTAAACAATTAATACATTGTAATTTTAAAATGTTTATATGCTATATTTGTTGAATAATACTCCATTGATATCTTATGTTATCAAACTTGAACATAAGATTAATAGTAGATAAAGATATTTTTTCAATCAAAATGCAATTGATTTTACACTTTGATTTTGATTGCTAGTGAGATGTACATACAATACACAACAGTATATTTTATAACATAATGTACCTTGTACTCTATGAGTTACAAACAAAAAATAAAATATTTCAGAATTAATCACTCATTTTTTTTTGTTTATAAAATATATGAAAGAATTTCTCTACAAGTTGAATTACGCGTGTAAGGCAAAAATTGAAACACTATGTGTTTAAAGGTACACGCATACACCTACATATGTCCACTCATACGCGCATATACGATTAACTACATAATTAAATGATAATACACCTACTTTTGTAAATATACAATTTGTCTAACACTATTACGAAAGTGTAATTAATGCGTTATATGATATTGTTTAGTAGTAGACAATCATTAGTACAAGGACTTTCATATATATAATGTTATGTTCAACTCCATTTCATTAGTTACAAATTATTTGTAAAAAGTGTTGCTTGCGATAATTACAATCTGTAATTACAAATTCAATTCTTATAAAAATGATAAATGTACAATTGATTTCACAATTTTGTTCTTTTTGTTATTAAACAAAACGTACTTTCTTTTTAATCTTACATTTAAAAATTTAGCATACCACGATTCATTTTATATTATTAAAATATCTTTGCTTATATCGATGACATTTCTTCATGAAATGCTTTAATTTATTAAAATAGTTATTAGTTTTTATGTATATACAAACATGTGTATATACACATAATATATTATACACGTACACCATATATTCTTTTGGATAAAATCTATATATATATATATCCACATTACACATCATTATTAATTTAATTGCATATTCCACAATCATAAAAAGTAAAATAATAATTATACATGAATTATACTACACACTATCGTGTATAATTATACGAATATATTCGGACAATTTTACTGCCATTAATATTATAGTAAAATTTATACAATTCCTTTTAAATATTTAAAATATTTAAAGTGCATTAATATTTTCATAGTATTTTTTAAGCTATATTTATAAAAGTAATTTTGTTAAACAGTAAATACAATTTACACACTGTATATTCAATTTTTGTAAAATCATGTACTAAAGCAATTTGTAAGTGCAGGAGCAATTTTTAATAAAATGTTTAAAATACAAAACAATGTTAAGACTGGAAAATGTTATTAGAAAATATGCAGCAGAATATACAATATTGTTTTTCAAAAGCCATTATAGTTACAAACATTTGAAAACAGTGCCTGTGTATCTTATAATTGCATTTAACAGTATTTGTACATTAAACATTTATTATTATTATTTACATCATACATAAAATTTTGAAAAGTAAATGATTTTTTAACTGTATCCTCGGATTATTTAAAAAAACGTAAATCTTCCAGCTTTTAAACTATTTTCAATCATACTTGTATCAAAAGAATGAAATATCAAAACAGTTAATAATATACATTATTGATGTATCTTATTTTGTATCTGGATATTCCATTCTCAAATTTGTTAAAACTTGTTTCATTGTTTCATACTCATATATAAACACAAAGGTTTATAGACTCTTATATATTTCACAAAGTATTTGAACACACTAATGTTATTTTTAATCACATTACTTGATATGTTTTGTATAAAAATTACTATAAAGTAATGTAAGACAAATAATTAACATATCTATGTTAATGAGTAAAAAAAAATCTGAAGACACAGTTAAAACTCATACATAACAACATAATCATATTAATTATGTAGCCCTTTTAATATATTAAATTTACTTTCATCACACTATGATTGCAATTTCTTATTAAAGCATATTATGCGGATAGTATGATTTTTTATAAACTGTTTCAACTTAAAATTATAAAATCTATATAACATGTAACATTCTTCTATCATTTAATAGTTATATGAACAAATATTATGTTTATCTTCAAATATTATCTTTTGTGTAATGAATGTACATTAGGATTGTAAGTTTCTATTCACTTTAATGTTTTTGATCGTAATAACAAAAATATTACTTAACAAAAATCATTGTGTGCTAATAAAAATTAAAAATCAAATTCGATTGTTGATAAAGCCACTGATGTCAAAACAAGAAAAGACCAATTTATTTACAACCAAATGATCATTGAAAGGCTACACAACTCTCACTTAAGCAACATTACTCTGATGAAATTTAAATGTGAATAATAGTAAGTTTTCACCACCTAGAGATAAGTAATAGAAAGGAATATTACTATATTTAACATTATTTCAATATATTTTTTCTGGCCAGCAGAAATTTTTTAATGCAGTAAATTAAAATTAACAAAAAGCTATGTTGATATCTTTTGCAAACGTTCAACGCATCGCAAAATATGGAAGAACTTTAAAAGCCACATAGATCGTTAATTGTGTAAACATGAGAAACTTATAATCCGAAATATAAATATAAACGTAAAATAAACTACCTTGAGAAAGCTGATAATAACTATAGATCTACTTGTTCTCCGTTAATCGTGATAAAAGCAATAGCTGTTTGAATTGGTGATTGAAGATCAACAAGACGTTTCTATTAAATGGTCGGATTTAAACGATGAGATCTTCTGCGCTGTTGATAGACTTGAGTTACTGGATTGTCCTTTTCAATGCCACTTAGAACATCGGTTAGTCATCTGATAAATGCAGTTTTATAACTTTTGGTCGTGCGCGCACTGCAAGTCACAGAAAGAAATGGGAATGGTTCGTTAGCCATCTCAGTACTACTGATGCTGAGTTTTAAATGTAATATACTTAGTTTCAAGACGTGGACAGTAATTGAATTCAACGAAAAGGTATCCTTTCTTTGTATTTTTATAATATATCAAATTTGTTTAGATATATAATCTTGTTTTACTCTCGTTTGTCCAACCTAGTACGACTTCAAAAATTAAATGACAATTTGTTGTTAATGCATGCAATACTTATTGATGATAAGAAATTAATGATACATGCAAGTTAATGTTAATGATAAATAATGTGAAATTTTTAGATATAACTTTACATTCTTTTATACATAATATATGTACACATTAAATTAAAAATAATAAATTCACATATGTCTCGCTTAATATAATAATTCTAATTGCGAAAATCGCTGAAGATTGGTCATAATGTACAACATATGTAATTTATCAATTATCGATGCATCAAATGTATTAATTAAAAACTGGGAAATTTGATAAAGCTATATATAACTGTTACTTTGAGAAACTTTAGAAGTAACAGTTACTGAGACTTACTGTCTTAAAGAATGATAGCGATTTACTCGATCTGCAGACCTGAGGATCATATTTGTGCCTTGCTGTGGTTGCGTAACCGAACTGTTTGTAGGCGCATTAGCAGTACGGGTTTCTGTGATGCATGAGGTTCTTATAGATTTTGTCATCTTGGCCCTTGTTACCGATGGTTTCGGTATAGATATCGAGGTAACGGAAATACTGGTAGATGTATTGTTGTTGTTGTTGTTGTTGTTGTTTTTGATGGTGGTAGTGGTGGTAGTAGTGGTCATGGACGTGGTAGCGGTGGTGATGGTGGTGGTAGTAGTAGTGGTGGAGGCGGTGGTTGTATTATTACTGCTCCCACTGTTGCTGCTGTTATTGATATTATGGATCTGTGTTGTTGATTTGGTAGACTTAACACGACGTGGAGGTGGATCACAGGTGTTACTGCGGGCCATCCAATTTCTATAATTTTTAGTAAAAAAACAAAACAATAATTTTCTATTAACTTTCATAACATGCAACAATTTCATAACGAGCATATTACATAATCTTAGTACAGTCACAAAGCCCAACATTAAAAAACTATTAAGATCAAATTTAAAGGACAACATAAAAACTAATTAATTTTACAGACCTTTTAGTAAAAGTTGTAGTTGCTCTAGGAACAAGCTTTTTTGTAGGATCCTTCTCTTTATTTCCAGCGATTGTATTAATTGCATTCTTTTGACTTCTTGTTTGTAATAATGGTTTTAAGTAAGGACTGAAAATATGATACATCTCGATTGATAACAGCTTTGCCGATAATAATGAGTTGAATTAATAATATTTACTGTACTACTGTTGATGGTCCAGTACTTGTATTAATAGGAGCATGATTTGTTAGCAAACGTTTTCTCTTGGCTTTCAGTTGATTCAATTTATCACCCTCGGTTAAAGTTGTGTACTTAGTTGCACTAGTTCCTGTAGTACGTTTGAAGTCATGAAATGCAATTCCATCCACGCGATGCATTTTTCCCGAAACATTATCTTGTACAAGATGACCATCTTTTAAATTAGACAGAAATGACGTTTTAGGTCTACCAATTATGGAGTATATTCCATATTTATGTACTGGATTGCCGTTCTGAGGTTGTAATGGTTCTTTCAGCAGAGAATGAAGATATGCTTCTTTCCTAAAATTTATCATCTGGTTAAAATTTATCACGACAAAATAATAAAGGGATGTAATAAAGATACAGACTTTTCTAGCCACTCTTGCTGATGCCCAATTACTGAACCTGGTCTACATATTCTTATCCATGCTATTGTTTCATGAGCTGTTAGATGATAATGTTTCATAATGTAACAGCCTATTAAAGAACCTGTTCTACCAAGCCCTGCTTTACAATGAACAGCAACAGCACCACATGCATTTTCTGCTACTTTAAGAAATTGCCGCATAATTGAATCTGTTGGAGTCGAACCATCGACAAAAAATAGATCTTTATGATCAAATCCTGCATCTGTGAAAATTGAAGCATCATAAATTTTTTTATTAAGGCGTATAATGGTAGTTACATTGTTATAACGGAAATATGTAAAATATGACTCTGGTGCATGAAGGGGATATCCTGAAAAAAGAAAAGAAAATAGAAATAACAAATGAAAAAAAAAAATAGATCAGTACTTATAATTATGATACAAATATTTACCATCTTCTATTTTAAATTTAGCATAAGGTCCACAAAATGCAATGAATTTACCAGGAACAATCCAATTTAAATCTCCATTTTCTACTCTTTCAAAATACTCATATTCTTTCACACAGAAGTCTTGAAAATTGAAAAATCCAAGTCTGTGACATTTATATATAGCACTAAGACATTCACTTAAGGATATCTGATACCATGGTGTACCAACAGAAGCATCCCGAAACATAATAAATGGTGGACTATTAGGGCTACTGGTTAAACAGTTGTATGCTTCTTCTGCTGTTCGTTTACAATATAATATCTAAGGAATAATATTAACATTAGTATATTTATGATTAGCTAATGCATTAATAACATGAACAAAAATAATTCATAAATATCTTACAGCATAACTTCCTATGAGGAAAGCAGCATTCACTCTTTTTCCTGGAACTGTAGTTGTATAATGTACAATTTTTTTCTTTTTTAAAGTTACTGCTTTAAGTTTTCTGTTGACCTTTTGACAATAATGATATAGCACAGCCAGATTCAATGGACCAAAATCATCATAGAAATTTTCATAAATTAATTCATCGTCAATACTAAAATAATGAGTGTTTGGAGTACTCTTTGGTTTTATTGTTGTCCTCAATGTCACAAAATACAGCCGATCTAAAAAAGATTAAAGAAAATGTAATACCCATTAAATGTTTTATGAAAAAATTGTATTCCCTTCATTTTTATATGTATTACCTTTTATGAATTCTGTTGCACATACTAATACATCATTTGTGTCCTCCATCATTAGTTTATGTTTATTATCTGATACTGTGAATAATAATTAAACAAGTATGTCATCAGTGCCACCGACATACAAAGGACACAATTTAATTAATGCAATCAGAAAACATAAGCATAAACACATAGAAGGTTAGAGTGGGTGTAAGAAAGATAAACTGCATCCATCTACCTACACATAATTAGACTTCCATGGGATACTCAATAAATACAAGTTCATAATTAGAACATCGTATACGAAAATAAGATTTATGTTATATTATACGACACTTACAACTTACCTGCGCGACCGTTACAAGATTCAAACTTGGTCAATCGAGAGTCGGTGATGGCCGATCGATTGCGTCGTAGAGCTCTTCCGGTTATGTTGTACATTCAAATGATTGCTAGTTCATGAATATTATTTAATTTATGTTTGTTATTAAGATATCACCATTTTATAAAATATCAATAAGGCGTTTATTCCTCGTATATGTTTGTATATACAACATTATTATCCGCCATAGGAGCAGAAGGTAGTTTTCGAATGCACTGCCATATTGGTTGCTCTCACAATATTAAACTGATGATAACATACTGGTTTAATATTTACAAGAAACATTGTAAAACGTTCACTGATATTGTGTAAAAGGTTTACGGTTTAAATAATATTGATGTTAAAACTTATTGGCACAATTATCTCAATGAATTTTACTGTTTTTCCTTAGCCAACAATTATTCCATTAATCGCAAAGCAGCGCACTCTAGCTGAGAAAAGTTCTTTACATTTCCTCTAAATTGCTAGTGCTATTTTTTAAATATTGTAATAATTATTTACTATTATGTTTTAAAAATAAATAGTATATTCAAGTAATAAACATGTAATAATTTTGTACTTATAAATTTTCTCCAATCATTCCGATTATCTTTTGATACCTATATAGAGCATGTAACAAATTAACGACCGCAACCTAACTACAACCATGTTCAAATAAGAACAGGTAAAAGTAGGTGTCATATAGTACGCAGAAAACATCATATAAAAAAATGACAGTTTTGGCGTTAATTAAATAGATCTATAGAAGGGAAAAGTAATAATGGAGTATACGCAAAGTACACAAGCAAATTCAGTTTCAACAGAAAACGGAACTTCAAGAACGTTTGTGTTTTCTAAACCAAATGTACTTAACCCCCCCAAAGTTATTAATTCGGTGGTTAATTCTAACCAAGTATCGGATAATTTTAAACAAAATATATTTACTTTTGCTATGCCAGTGGCAGTATCGCAACCAAGTAATCAGGATACATCTTATTTTCAATCAAGCATTGGTGAGAAACAATATAAACCTAGGATAACAAGGAATTCTTATAAACCAGCAGTTAATGTTTTTGCCCAAGCACTTAAAGATACCGCAATGTTCGAGCAATTAAAGAAAAATTCTAGATCGCAAAATACAAAAATTAATTCAGAAAATTCAATAACATGTACATATGTACCTCACTCTTTACTTACAAAAACATCAGCAAAACAACATTTTACACAGTTTGGAAGTATTTTAAAGATAACAATTCGTCCGAAAAAACAAATAATTACTGTGACTTATACTACCAAAGAAGAAGCAAATGTAGCTTATAATAAATGTGGTGAATATTCAGGGGAAAAATTCAATATAGAATGGACAAAATCAGCTACTACACCAAAACTTCCTACAAAGAAAAAAGATCTCCAAAAGAACATTGTATCACAAATGGTATCTAATTTTTTTAAATCACCTGACGATGATGTTAAGTTTGAATTAGATGGTATGATGAATCTGGAATACAATTTACATAATAGAGATAATATTGATGAAAGTTTGCGCAAAAAAAGTAAAACATTACAGTCAAAAACTGTATCAAAATCATCAAGAGCAGAAAAAAGTATGAAGTCTGATAAACATAAATCAGATAGTCAGATATCAGATCTGTTACCTAATGCCACTATAGAAGAATTACAAAGTATAATTCAACAACCTGCATATACTTCTGAAGACAAATATAAAGTATTAGAAGCCAGAGATCGGTTAATGCGAATGAAACAAACTAAATCACTTACATTAGCAGCAGCAAGAGTAATGATTGGAACATGCCCTGATATGTGTCCTGAGAAGGAACGTCTCATGCGTGAAGCAAAAAGACAGGTGGCATTATATGAACTACTTGAAAGCAGTGAATATAAAATAAATCATTCCAGAGCAGTTAAACAATATTCTAGATCTTCTGCAGATCAGGAAGAACCAATGGCACATGAATTAAGACCAGTGAAATCTTTAAAAATGACTATGAGTTACTTACTTCATGAGATAGCAAATCTTTGTGATCAACAAGGAACAAATTTAGGAGAATGGTATCATTTTTTATGGGATAGAACAAGAGGAATTCGTAAAGATATAACACAGCAAGAATTGTGTTGTGTAGATAGTGTTGAACTAGTAGAACAGTGTGCCAGGTTTCACATAGTATGCTCTGAAAGGCTTTGCGCCGAAGAAGCATCAGTGTTTGACAAAAGAATAAACTCTGATAATTTAACAAAATGTTTGCAATCACTGAAGTACATGTATCATGATTTAAGAGTAAAAGGAATTAGTTGTAAAAATGAACCCGAATTTCGAGCTTATATTATATTATTAAATTTAAATAATGGCAACTTTATGTGGGATTTACAAAGATTGCCAAAGTATATACAAAAATCACCAGAAGTTCGGTTTGCATTAGAAATATATATTGCTCTTGACTCAAGCAACTATTATAAATTTTTTGATTTGGTTAAAAAAACCACATACTTAAATGCCTGCATTTTATTAAGATATTTTAATCAAGTAAGATTAAAAGCATTAGCAGTGCTGGTAAAAGCATATTGCAGAACTGCATCAACAGAATATCCATTGTATGAATTAATTGATATTTTAGGTTTTGAAAATGAAAATGAAGCTATTTATTTTTGTGAGCAAGTAGGATTAAACATTTCAAATGATGGTTTATATGTACTACTAAATAGACGCAATTTTACTATGCCTGTATTAAATATAAAACAAGACAGAGCCTGCAATTTAATAGAATCTAAAAGAACATTACAACAATTATCTATTGGAGAATGTATGGCAGGTGGAAAAATGCCAGAAAAGTCTTACAGATATCATAAACCGCATAATAGTTTTGATTCACTTGGTTATTTAATGCCTGAGTCTATTAATGCAGAAGATCAAGGTAAAAATCTTACTTTAATGACTGATCCATATGAGTTTGAAGATGAAGATGCAGTAACAACCAAACAGTTGATATCAACTTCCAAAAAAGATCAGAGTAATATTGAAAGCACGAGTACTGACTATGCAAACATATTTCAATCTCCTGCAAGCACTGAACCTGATAAAAATATGTTTACAACTGTGCAATCTGGCAATGATATTTCTGTTTCTTCCAAACATCAGGCACAAACTAATAAGGTTCAAGCAAAACCTTCAAAACCAGAAAACCAAAATGAATTAAACATATTTAATCTTAAATCAAAGCAACAAGATTTTCCATTAAATGAAAGCAAAGCTAAAGAATCTTCAGTTTCACTTAATACATTTAATACAACATCAGCAGATCTAAAAACTTCTAAGGTATTTTCTAAGCAATTTGTATCATTAGCAAATAATGATACTTCTGCGTTTGCACAAGCTACAAATAAAAGTATATTTTCGGGAACTACACAAGGAAACATATTTATGAAAAATCTTACACCCTCTACTATACTTTCTAATTCATTCTCAAATGTGCAAACTATTCCAAAATCATCATGTGAAACGAATCTTAAAGTTGATATTACTAAAAATACGTCAAAAGATGTACAGAACTTCTTTGTTCCTGTGGTAAAAATACAAGAAAAAACTTCACAGGAAAAAGAAGCTGAGAAGCTGAAATTGAAAGAAGAGGAACGTATTAAGAAAATGCAACAGATTAATGAGACTGCTGAACTGGCTTTAAACAGTCTGCAGACTTTGGTTGTAAATACATATTGTTCTGATATAGTAAAAGAAGAAATGGATAAAATAAATGTTTATAGCACATTAAGCGAAGATATTAGTAGTCAAGTTCAAAATGAAATTATTCATGAAATGTGTGATAGTATAGTAAAAGAAGAGATTATTAATACACAAAGAGTACATGAAATGTCTATAAAAATGAAAAACAGAGCAATTATAAAATACTTTAATATATGGAAATCTAATGCATTGAAGAAAAAACAACAACGAAGGGCACTGGAGGATACACCAGTATGGTTACAAAAATATTCGAGCCAGCAATGTGCAAAGTTATTATACTCCAAAGAACAAGATTTAGTTATTCAAAGTATGTGCAAAAAAGAGGATAAAGCGAAGAAAACTGTTAAATCGTATTCTGAATCTCTAGCATCAATTGAAACTATAATTTATAGTGGTATTAAAGAAAATTTGAAATCTTGTGATATTAATGTGCACTCCAATTATTATTGGAAACTAGTTATATCTTGGCCAGATTTACATAATAAACCAATTCTATGGCATCACAAAAATATAATGAACCAGTACATTAATCCTAGTGATTATACCATAGATCCTATTATAAAACTTTATCACCCACAATCAAATCAAATTGAGACTTTACATATTTGTATCAGACACTTTGAAGGTCTAATTAGTGACTATAATTTAATAGGATCAGATGCTCTTTTGTTTATTGCAGCAGCTTCTGAGGATGTTAAATTTGTTATAAGACGTTTAACTAAGACTGTACTATCCAGAGATAGGCTTATGCCTATACCTCTTGTATTTGCTGTTTTAGGTGATTCAAACTTTGAATCTCAAAATACGGAAGTTATTTTTAATTTAGAAAAGTTATTAAAATCAGGATATTTATCAGTGTACACAATTATACATGAAAAGGATTTAACTGAAGAAACAATCTTAAATTTAACAAGCAGTGCAATGCTTTGGTTATCTATAAACAAATCACCACGAAATCCATTAGAAATGGATTACTTACAAAACATTTATGATACTTGTTTAACAGAAGAATTATGGTTGAGGTATGTTAATTATTTTGTCAGACTTTTTCTATTCCAAATTGAAATATTTCTATGTTTCTAATGCCTTGATATTTTTGCAGGATATTTGATGATACATTTTTAAATAAAAAATTATCACGCGCTTTAACAGAACCCAACTTCATAATTGATTTACATAATGAAGCAGTCACTCATATAACGGACATATCATTGGATCCAGAATCTTTCATGTATACAAAATTTGCCCCAGAGTTCAAGAAGTTTATAAAAAATCAATACACAGTGCCATGCAGTTATGAATACTTTGACGATACTTGGAAAAGTGAAGAGTATAAAGCAGAATTAGAAAAAGTGATGTCTAGTTTTAAATTACCTCAATGGAAGTAAGTAACATCATTAAATATTTTGTTGTATTTTCATGTAATTTCATTCATGAATTAATCCAAATCTTTTTTATAATTATTTTAGATATGGATGGCCCATAAATGACAGTAATATACTTTGTCAAAACATAATAAGTTACTGTCAAGAAGCACTGTGTAGTAATGAACTATCCTTGGACGTATTAAATAATTTACTATTTACATCTGGAATGTCAGTGATGATAAATTTCATCGATATTTTGTTGTGTATAATTAAGAAAAAAGTATATCTGCTCGAGAAAGATTTTAAAATAGTGTATAATAAGAATTACATGAAGCGTTTCCGAACCTTACCGTGGTGGTTGAAGTCTAAGCTGTTAATTGAATATAAGTTTGCATTAGCAGAACTTAGCGTAGAAAATAATGAACGGAAAAATACTAAGAAAGAAAAAGATTCAGATGAGCCTATAGTAAAAAAAAGGAAGCTGTATAAAAATGATACAGAATGTGAACCATTAGCAACATTTTGTGAAGATAGTCGAAGTCAAATAATGGAAGTACATTGCACTTCGAAAAAAATAGAAAATCGTTTAAAAACACATCAGCAACAAAGCCTTTTATTTGAAGAAAGGTTGAAAAATGCTTTGTTAAGTGAAAATCAACCTATTTAATATTGTGCAAATATAACGTCTAGTTTCCCTTGTTTATAGTGTTACAGTGCCTCAAAAACTATTGTATTTTGCAATATTAGTATTTGTTAAAAAGTAAGACATATTACGTGTGATACGTAATCATTTATAATATAAGAATGTGAAGTACAATGTTTACAAAATATCCATGAAATTATGTATGTTATGTTTAAAATGTGTGTATGTATGTATCTAACATTTTGTATCTATGATTTTGATTAAACACATTAATATGAAAACAAGATTCGGTGTTTTAATTTCTATATAAAAAGGTAGAAAATTTTAGTGGATATAATAATAATTTAGTTAATAAATTGTAAAATAAAAAATTTTAATAGAATAATATAAAATTCAAGTCAAGGTATTCAGCCGCGGCAGCAGTGAAACTACTTTCTTTTTAATTCCATTTATACATTTAAGTGCATTATAAAAATGGTATGCAAATCAATATTTTTATAAAAATATGTTGGTACTTCCAGGTACTAAATACTTTAAATTCATATTAAATATACTGATTAAGAACATTACAATTCTCTATTGATTAGAGAAGTGATCACTATGTCTTACATTTCAAAGACAAGTACCAAATTTTATTTCATTTATTGACACAAAGAAACTATCGAATAGATTGTTTAAGTCCATAAGCGACAGATTTTGTTTCAGTAATTTCTTTCTTTTTATGCGGATCAGGTTGGAAACATTTCCACAGTCTTAAAGTTTCATCAGCTCCTGCACTGAGTACTGTAGTACCATCTGGAGACATTGCTAAATGTAAAACACGACTAGAATGGCCTGTAAGTTCTGCAACCTTCGTCATTGCAGGGTATTTCCAAATTGTTAACTGATTTTGTGCATATCCGTGACCAGACACGATTTCCTTATATGTTGTGGACCAAAGTAAGGAACATACCTGTGACTTGGTATCTATTGTATTTAAACATGCACCTATTTTAAAATTTACAGAAAGAAATATTTCTATTAAATCAATGTTTTTATCATATATATAAAAATAAATACATGATATTTACCGGTATTACAATTCCAAAATCGAATAGTTCTATCAGCAGTACCACCACCACTTGCAAGAATATTATTTTGCCATGGACACCATGCAAGCGCTTTCACAGCAGCTTGATGTTGGTTTAATGAATAAATCGGCTGCGTATGTGTGTGATTTTGACCAGTAATCAAAGGCCATATTTGAAGCATATTATCATTACCGCCACTCGCTAAATACTTTCCATCGGGTGACCATTTCAAACCGCATATTTCTTGAGCATGTGCGTTAATCGTCATTATTATATGGTCCCTTTGTCTAACATCATGGTGCACCATTTGTCCTGCTCTGTATGAAATTAAAAATTAACATCTACTTAAGTACAGTAAATTTAATTTATGTAACAAGTTCAACCGACCTACACCCGCTCGTCAAAACATATGAATTCCAAGCAAGAGAACCAACTCTGGCTGCATGACCGTTCATTACACGAACCCTTTTCATCTGACTACAATCCCATAGTTCTGTGTTTCCTGTCGTGGTACCTACTGCTAAATAGGGACCTTCTTGGATCCATGCAACTGAGCAAACATAATCACTGCCCTCTAATTCAAATAATTGCTCGATAGTTCCACTTGCAGCATTCCATAAATATACATTAGCACCTAATGCTACAGCTAAAATATTACTTTCTGACCAATCAACTAGATTCAAATCTGAAATTAAATATATGGTTTTTATTGATATTTGATAATTATAAATATTAGGTATTAAAAATCTTACAATAATCATCAATAATTTCTGGTGCATCCAGTATTTTATCAGGAGTTTGTGGTATGTATCTTGTTGAAGCTTTGACACTTGCTGGTGTTTTACTTTGACTATATATAACTCTTAATGGGTTTTGATAACCTTCTGGAGGAGCTGGTGCTTTATTTTGATAGGATAAAATTCTCATATTATTAATATCACCACCATGTATATTTTCTCCTATAAGTCGCTGCATTTCTCTCTTAGAGGGACTTGCATTGTCAGGTTTTTCTTCATCCTTTTCTACATTAGCTTGTTGAATCTAAAATTTATAAAGTTTACAATTAATAAAACTTCATTATCTTCTATTGATAACTCTAATTAACAAGTTGTATATGTACCTTATAATAACCAAGATCAAAATTAGTAGTTGATCTTGAAGGTATAAATCTATCACCACCACTGGGTGTTTTAGTAAGTGCACTAGTACGACCTAATTGACATTTAAATAATTTTACAGAAATTTACCTTTTACAAACATGATTATTTTATACTATAAGTAGATATTTCAATTTATAAAACTGATATCATACTTGGTGATTTTTTAGAACCTTTAGAAGGTGTTTTTTTAATTCGGCTATCATTCTTTTTCGTTGGTGTCTTCCCTGTAGTAGTATTTGCGAATGATCCATTTGCAATTTTTCGCGATGAATTGATACTAAGATTGACACTGAAAAAAAAAATAATTATGCTGCTTGAAAATACCATGTTTTTAATAATAAAAGCAAGTGATAAAATAATGAAATCGTACCTCGAATTTGATGTTTCTAAACATTTCTTTTGCCAACGTGGAAGCGGCCCCTTAATAGCTTCGTCCATACGAGTTAAATTATTTATTTCTTTCATGTATTTTAAATGAGACATTATAGAGAAAAATAATTAAAAATTATCGTTAACGATTTAATTTAACAGGTATATTGTATTAGGTACAAGTCTAAAATATAAACTAAATGAGAAATTTTATGATGTTATAGCATTTCCAATTATTAAATTAATTTACTTTTATTCTGAAATTGTTAGACAACAATTTTAACTGTACAAGAAAAGATATAGCGTCAATATATGTATAGCAAAGAAATGTTACAACTTTTCACTCAGAAACACCAAGTTCTTTGTCCGCGTAATTCAACGTGTTTATAGCGAACAATACACTCGACATTTAAAACGTCCGTTAAAATTTAAAGCATCACTGTTTAAAGACCTCTGTTACAATCCTTTTCCTATAGATGTCTCTGTAAGAATAAAGGAGCATTTTCAAATTCAAAACTGTTAGTTTTATTATTTCAAACTCCCTATATTTCTACTTACACTAGAGTCGGCTGTGACTTACACATTTAAGTTTTCAGATAACATTTTCCTGACCCAACTTTTCCTAAAAACAATAAAACATAATTAGTAATTTGAAATACATAGATTTTATCATATAGTTTAATTCTAAAATATTATAAGTTTCATACAGTAATATCAGAAAGAAATGGATAAAGCTAGCTCTAAGAATATGTTAAAATCACAGTGTAAATATAATGAACAGATTTGTTCTACAGAACATACAAAAGATGAAAATGAACATGACTGGTGGGCAAGCGATAGTGGATCAAGTACTGGATCATATTATTCAGACTCAGATAGGTATTTGAAATTTTAATTATTTTAACTTAGGCTTTTGATGAAACATACCATTGTATAATTTTCAACAGTTCTACAGCAGAATGGGAATCACAAATTAATTCTAATGGAGAATTATTTTATATAGAATCTGCAATAGATAATATAACTGATGAACAATCGTTATTTAATCAAATAAAACATGATTCTCAGCCAGAACTAATAAGACGTCGTAGTACAAGAGCTGGGAAGCTTATGCGACTTATACGGCGTAAAGAAAGTAAAAGGTGGAGCACAAGAAATAAAAAAAGTAATTTTAATACAGACAGCAATGTAGGAAGTTCAGGAAAGGATGGAAATGCAATTAAGGAAGTGACATTTAGAGATTTTCAAGTATGATAGAAGTATCTTTTGATAATACTCTATTCTATATAAAAATCATTAATAAATATGAACATTTTAGGCAGGTGAAATTCGAGAAGTTACACTATGGGTTGATATAGATAAAAGACATAAACTAGGAAGAAGAGCTACTTTATGTGAAGCATATTTTGGAATTATTCCAGGTGTATTCTCAGATAAAACAAGAATTATGGTTGCTGGATTTATACCAGATGGAGAAGCAATGAAGAATAAAAATATTAAGATTGGAGATTGGTTAAGAAGTGTAAATTCAAACAATGCTACATATCAAAATTTGGATCACATATTATCTGAAATAACCATTTCAACAAATGTAAGAATTAGAAATAGAATATTGTATGAAATTATAAAGTATCTGTTTATAATTACTAATTTTTAATTTTGTTCAGGTAACATTAGAATTACAAAGAGTTGCTGGTATTGATGTCACAGAAAAATTGTCTGGAATAAATTATCCTAAGGTAATATTATTTTGAAGTAATTTATACACAGCTAAAGCATTTCTATAATAATATAAAATATATCATTTTTGTCATCAGCAATCTATGTTAGTTCAAAGATTAATGAACAAGGAAGAAAGTAAAGAATTAATGCAGTCAATGATAGATTATCCAATCGGTGTATTATATCTACAAACCACAGAACTTTCAGAAATGGGACCAGAATTTCAAAATGTTTTGTATACATTTCCGCGATCAGAAAATAAAAATACTTTTTCTATTTTATGCACAGCTAAAGGAGCTTTTATAACTCTTAATCATTTATTACCAGGAATAGGAGGCCAACAACCTATCAGGTATTATTAAATGTTTATATCACTTTGTATAATTACTTAAGTTTTGTAACAAATACGCAATCACATTTTATAGTACAACTTTTGTAGTACAACAATACAGGTAGCAAAAGAAGAAATTCATATTGTATATATACCTAGGAACGATAAATTACTTTTAATAGCGTTACCAAAAAAATGGTAGGTATAATAATAAGTAATCACTGATGTATATGTGTATATTCTTATTTTATCTTCAATATCTTTAGTTGCAGTCTTGAAGAAGCAGTCAATTTGTCAGCTGATATAGTCAGGACTTTAGAATTTACATACCAGTCACTGACAAAATGTTTTACATCTCAAGAAAATCAAACATCTTTAGATCATTTCTTCATTTTAATTATTCAACGATTATTAGATATGAAGAGTTATACCAATAACACGCAATTAAGCACTTGTTTTGAAATGCATAATGATATTGAAAGCATGGAAAGCTATAAATTTAGAAGCGCTTTTTCAGTTGCAAATTTTATAGAATTATCAAGAGATGCACAAATTCAAATTGATGCTGCTTTAAGTGAAATGGAAGCCATGGATTACAGAGATTGGGTATGTACAATATAGTACATTAGAAAATGAAAACAAATAACATAAGAAATTTTATTTCTTTAGAATGAAGATCCTATGGACTGTCAAAGACTGTATACAATTCTAGGTAGCTGCATTTATCATAAACATTATCTTCTTGGATCTCATTTAACTCATAATGATTTGATTGAAGTTGATTCTTATCTAAGACAAAATTGTCTACTAAATTTGGTAACTAATGAATCTGTAAAAAGCCTTGTTATTTGGAAAAAAGTTTATCCTTCTTCGTGCAATCGTGGAAATATAGAAAATAATAGAAGCAATCAGCCCCTAATTCCCAATGGAAGCTGGTTTTTGCTTGTTGTCGGATATGGACATGATTTATTAGCAGTACTCCTGGAATCTGGTGGATGTACTGCAAAGTAACTTTCCATACATCTCACTATCTACATTTTATTAATATGGTTGTAGTTTTAAAGATTTCGTAAATATTGGGTTAAAATGGTTTTTATTACAGATGTAGTGAAACTACTGGACCAGATGTATTTTATGTAGAAGAAGCACAAGAAACATTGAAACATATACAGAAAGTAGGAGTAACAACTTTAGCAGCGAAATGGATTGCATCTAATACTAGGCCAAAAGTAATATCTTTTGAAGATCCTGTATCCGTGAAATCATCATCTAGTATTACAGAAAATCTTCTAGGTTTTATAAAATCAACAGACGTACAAAATTCATCTATCAAATCATCGCATACTTCGACTAGCAGTAAAAAAACCCAAGAAATACCTTCAATTTTAAAGAAACGTAATATGGAAGAAAGTCCTATGGTCTTAGGGTCGGGTAAATAATACACTATATTTTGTTACAAACAAAAGATATAAATTTAAAACACTTATAACCACCTTTTTTCTTTTATAGTATATTCTTTACATACGTCTGAAGATTCGTTGAGCCAAGGAACAGGCGGAATTAGTGAAATAAGTGATGAAGCAATGCCTATATTAGGAAGACGAGCAACTAGAGAAAAAATTGCTAATGGTTCAAGATATTCTGATGACAGTGATTCCGATATTGACATATACAAGGTACATGATCTTATAAAGTATAAAATGTTTATATTGCTCATTGCACATTATTGCAGAACGACTGTCGAATACTAAGTATGGACATATCTAATATACGAGAAAATCTATTAAATCAGGCTGAATATTTAGTACCCAAAGTATTAACAACGGGTGATAAAAATTATTTATATTATTATGTGCATATAGATATGGTTGAAGGAATTCTTTTATCTTCAAAGCTACCAGAGTATTCAGAGAAGGATCATAAGTTTCTGATTAATTTTAATAAATGTGTACATATTATACACAGACTGTTACATAATACAGTAAGATTTAAAAAAATGTTAAATTCAGATATGGACAAAACTGTTATTAATAAGAGCTTAATTGCTGTTAAAGAACATGGTGTACTATTTGAATGGGAAAATTTAACTTTTTGGGTAGTTGGCCGATTATATACAACTCCTCATCCAAAGGAGTTGTACGTATGTTACGAAGATTCGGCACCTCAAAATTTAATTGAAATAGCATTTAAATTGCATTCACTATATACACTATCGTAATTTCTAAAACTTTTCTTTTTGCACTACATTTTTAAACTATTTTAAACAGAACTACACATATTCACTGAATTCGGAGATGGAAAAAAAGAAAGTATGTATTACCATATTTTCCTTTTCCAAAAGTATAACTTATTTTTTTTTATATTTCTTTTAATCCATAAAATCACATCAAAAAATATGGTTGTGATTTATTCAACATCTGTTTTTAAATATAAATTTATACAAAATACTTATTTACGTGCAACACTATGCATCTTTTATATAAATTTTATAATACATATTGCAATTTCTATTTATAATTTAACAAATAGTTTGTAATACATTTTTATAAGTTTAATAAATATATGAAAATCAAAATTTATAAATATAATTTCCAACTTAGACTTCAGTGTTAGGCCATTGATATATTACAATGTTAAAAATAACTCTTCAACAGCATGGACATATTTTTAATAAAATTTGCAATACAAATTTCATTATATTAGAAATAAATTCATTATATTAGAAATAAATACCTTATATTAGAAATATATTATTAATCTATATCTAATAATATATTGCTTTCTTCCTTATTACAATGATGTGCAGTAGGAATTTTTACATATACACAAGCACCTGCCATTTTACTTCCATAATGTCCTGCCCAAAACTGACTATCTTTACCACCATGATAAAATGATATTTGTCTCAGCCCAGGCCCATAGTTTCTAAACTCATGTGATACCTATTGAAATAAAATAATGGAACAGAATTAGTTTCATTAAAAAAGGTTTTAACTTTATACACCATAAATAAAACACACATAGTGCCACTGATTCTGTTTTTCCCCTTCAATGTTATCATGAAACTGAAAAGAATCTATGATTCTTCTTTCATTTAATACTGTTTTTTCTCCTAATAATATGACATTACAGTCATAAACAGCTGAACAATCCCAGCGACAACTATACCATTCGCCTACCTAGATAAACAGAAATTATATTCATTAAAAACATTTTTGTTACATGCAATTTTGCAATAAATATAATTGTTCAAAAATTTGTTGTACCAATATTGGAAGTTGTAAATTGTCTAAAATGTATGGTGTTAATCCTTCAACTTCTAGATCAATGACTTGCATCTTTGTACAAGCAGAATATGAAGTAACAAAACAATATTGTTTTCCTTCAAAAACAGGTTCATTATTTGGTAACAATGGTACTCCTACTGGAGGATTTTCTACAATCCAACGATCTCCCTCATTTGCAATAATCTTCCAATGCTTTTGTACTCCATGTTCTCCGGAATGATTTTTTATCAAATTTCTCTCAAATGGTTTCTTTTTACATATTAAATAATACGCATACCAAGACACCTCCTTATCCAAGAATAGTGGTTGGCCAATAGAAATCTCGGCTTTTTTACGCCAAATGTAACTTTGAATTAAAATTTTCCAACGTTTACATACGAGTTGACAATTTAACAAAGACTCGTAATCAACATAGCAGAAAATTTCGGCTAGTAGTTCCTCTGGTAGGTATTTACCACTAACAATTAATCCATTATCGCCCTTTTCATCGAACATTACACGAGTTGTCATATTACTGTCAAGAGACTGTCCCATGTTTACTTACGAATGAATAATCACCTAAAAACTAATTGACAGACGATATAAAAATATTTTCTATTATCTTACAAAGAAAGAATATTTTTCATCTTTTGCCTGCAACGTTGTTGATTAAAATCATTTCTAACCAACAATAACGCAAGCAGTGACTACTATTTACTGTAAATAGTAACTGACGCAAGCGCAGAGATGGGACACGGGACGGGTTTTCCCGCGCATGCGCGAGTTTTACAGGGACGTATCTATGTGGTGGCGCAATCACGGACTAGGCCTTAGTCACTAGACAGTTTTGTTTACGATTATTTTAGTACTACTCCCTTTCCTATACCCCCGGAAAAAGGAAAAGTGTGAATTATGTATATATATATGTTATACATTCATTTTTCACAGTCAGATTATAACAATTTTTGCAAAATTATGCAGGATGATTAAGGTACCCCATTTTATTGAAACTTGTACTATACTGATACTAAAGTCGCCGCGCATGCGCGAGAAGACCCGTCGCATCCCATTTCTGCGCAAGCGTCGAGGCGGAATTCCAAATTCCGCGTCGGTAAAACAGTTCACGTTTCATCAATAATTAGGTCGAACAGAAACTGATTTAAGCGCCATCTCAGTTATTGCATCCAACTAACTTCAATTTATTAAATTACCTTCTGATTTTATCAATACATATATTGATAAATAAATATTAGTAAATGATTTAATAACGCTTTATTTAAAGCTGTATATAACCAGTTAACTTTCAACGATCTTTAATACATAAAATAAATCTTTGTACACGAATAAATTATATTCGTATAATATAGAATTTTTGCATTTTATTATTTCACATTTGTAAGAATTGCACGTGGAATTTCACCTAACTTATTCTCGCTTGTTGGTATATTTAAATGATGAAAAACATCTAGAATGTCTTTCATAAATGTATCCATCATTGTCCGAGTATGTTTCGGAGTTGGAGCTAGTCTTAATTTTTCCTCTCCTTTCGGAACCGTTGGATAATTTATTGCCTGAACATAGTGGCCCTTTTCCCTTATTAAGGTATCAGCTAACTGACTGCACAGCAGTGGATCGCCAATCTGAAAAACGATTATAATGAATTATTATAATGAAAATAATACAATTATATTAAAAATGTAGTACAAATACAAAATAAATGAAATATACTTTTATCGGAATAATATGAGAAGGCGATGGCTCTAACGGAAGGCCTGCAGAGATCAAAATAGATTTCATATAGGCTACATTTTTCTGATGATTAGTCCTTAATGCTCTTCCTTCATCCGAAGCTAAAATTTCGACAGCTGTTAAAGCACCGTATAATACTGTCGGTGGTAACGAAGTTGTGAAAATAAAACCAGCAGCGTAACTACGTATCATATCTATTAATTTTGTTGTACCAACAATGTAACCACCAACATTACCAAAAGCTTTCCCCAGTGTACCAGAAATAATATCCATCTTATGAAGTACCCAATCCCTTTCTCCAATCCCAGCACCCGAATATCCGTATAATCCTACAGCATGAACTTCATCCACAAATGTTAAAGCACCATACTTATGTGCAACATTGCATAATTCTTCTAGAGGACATATATCACCAGTCATAGAATGTACTGTCTCAAATGCTACAATTTTTGGTACATTTTTATCTACTTTTGAAAGAAGTTCTTCAAGGTGTTGTACATCATTGTGCCTAAATATATGCTTTGGTACTCCACTGTTTCTTATACCCTGGATCATGGATGCATGATTGCCAGCATCAGAGAAAATATGACATTCTGGTAACAGTTTTGCTAGAGTATATAAAGTAGAATCATTGGCAACAAAACAAGAAGTGAATAATAAGCCAGCCTCTTTTTGATGCAAAGAGGCAAGTCTTTTCTCTAACATTTCATGGGCCACAGAATTTCCAGATATGTTCCTTGTTCCTCCAGCTCCTGCACCAAATTTATTCAATGCTTCTCGAACAGAATCTGTCACTGCCGGATGACGCGACATTCCTAAATAATCATTGGAACACCAAACAGTAATAGGCTTTTCTCCCCATGAATATTCCATGGCAGTTGGAAAGTTCTCTGCTAATCGATTTACTTTCTTAAACACTCTGTAAGAGTGATCCTTCTTCTTCTTCATGATTTGTTCATGAAAAAATTCTTCATATGGAAAGTTTGGTTCTCCTCTTGGTTCATAAGATGTCACCTTGATAATATCTTCTTCAATGATAGGACTAGCCACTTTCACTGCATTTTGTTTTTTAGCAAGAAATGGACATTGACCATTTATAGGTTCTTGCACTTGTTGAGTCACAGAAGCTTCTGCCTGTGTACTAAAAAGCTGAGACATCACTGGACAAAGCTGACGATAATTCATTATAACAGATGCTCCATAATTACGAATGTAATTTGTAGACAGACTTGTTAGAAATGGGCAAGACATGTTTTTTAGTTTCCCTGAAACATAAAAAATTACAATGTATACAATTATTTTCAAATTATCAAGAAGTATTTAATTTACCAAACAAGTTACATAATTAATATCAATTTGTAAGCAATAATAAACTAATACTCTATTTTAGAGTTATGTGAAATAGAATTGAGGTCAACAGTATAGAAAGCGAGGTCGATAAAAAGGAAAGTAAAACGGCAAGTAACGATGACAAGATAATTTAAGTATCAGAAATTCCTTACCTTTTACAGCGTTCGACAAGTGGTACGCGTTGACGTAATGGGTACACTGGTGGACAAACTGAAATATGAAAAACAAATACCTTTTAAGTAACAGAACTGAATAAGCGACTTTGAATGCCGTGGCTGACAGCCAAATGAACTAAATTCAATCGAAGAATCAAGAGACGAATCAAGAGATAACCATACAATCAACCTCTCGATGTGACAGGTGGGCCACGACTGAACGTGTCACCTCTGCGAAGTTCGTTTATTACCATACACATAAATAAGTCGCTTCGATTCGAGAGGTCGAACGGAACTTTTTATACGTGATCCTTTCACGTTCAGCGTTCCCGGCCTAATCCTTCTCTCCTTTTTTTTAATAATTTTTCTTGTTTATTAATCATTATGCAATTGTCATGCGCATTCAGGCGACTAACTGTTGATTACAGGAATAGTTTCATTAACCTTCTGCTAATATATTTACATCAGAGATATCATAACACCAAAGATAAATAAAATAGTAGTTATCTAAAATGATGTTGCAGAAATTACGGTCGTAAAACAAAATATTCTTACATTTGGTTTTAAGTTAATTAACATCTAACCCTACTCTGGGCATGCTTTTCAATATTTAAAACATTTACACGTAATAAAGACAGAATCTTTCTCATTTTCATACTACTAACAATAAGCAATAAAAGTATAAATATGACAAGTGTCTGAGATTTTGAGACGGTAGCGAAGCCGCGCATGCAAGGATGGCTTCCTTTGGTTAGCAAGAAATATAGGGGAAATTAACTTCCTGCCTCACCCTCTCGTCTTGCTCCAATGTGAGAACATAATTTCCTGATGTGATATATCAAATTTGCAGGACCCAAGCATAAGTTAAAAGAATAGTGGAAAGCCACTTTCCCCTCCACCGAGGGAAGCCTTCGTGCACGTGCCCATACAACTAAAGTATTCTATTAAACATTACTATGTTGTTGTATTACAACGCAAAGCGTATAGAAAGATAATTTATATTATTTATGGAATACAGCGTGTGAGTCGTTGTTTCAAGGATTTGTAAGAAACCATTATGTAAGCCTTATAATAATTGAATGAACGTCATTGATTGAGAGTTATTTTATCGCCGCGAGCATTTACATCCTTCCCGGAAGAGCGACAGCCACATAGTGGGGCAAATGTAACAAATGTCAATAATTGTGATTATTCGTTTCAAGATACGAACACTTAACACTAGATTGATGGAGCGAAACAATTTGACTCATTTACGATTTTATTGCTATATATAGAAAAACTTAAATAATTATATTTATTAAAACATATGTTGGTTTTTAATAGAATTATGAAATGTATACAAATGCTATTCTGTCAAATTAAAAAATAGAAATTGAATATAATGCATAGTTAGATGTATGCATTTAATTACTTATACGAACACTAACAATCTCATGGGATTGTTATTAACCTTTGTTGCTAATTCATTTCCTGCAGCACGACCGTCACTAATGCACATTATAATACCGTGCGATTACTTAATCAAATCAGAAACATGCAAGGAAACGTTCGAACGATCGTAAAAATAAAATATGAACACTATACACGTAAAGCTTACCGAGCAATCCAATTTAAACGAAATACTTTGAAGAACAAAGAAAAATTATCGGATAAATTTAAATCTCTTTTAATTTTTTCTTCGTTATATATAAATAAATTTTTAATAGAAATTTGAAATTTTAATATCTGCATTTTCTAATAAGATTGCTTCAAGTTTCACTCACCATAATACACGGAAATATTTTTTACGAACAAGTCAGTTCTGCGTCTCTTTAACTCGTTGCAAGCGACAGCACGATCTCTTGAAGACTAACAAAATTCTGCTTGTCGTGTGCAACATTTAACGATGTTCCATGTTGGTTAAATTATTTTCTTTTTTTTCTGCAAACTCATGACTACGCTAGACAAACAACCAATCGCTGCCTTTGAAAGGATCGTCATTGAAATTCATTTCGCGTTTAATAAGTAACTTACGTCAGTGTATTCCTTACCTCGTGCATATGTGTACGTAGTTGGAGAAAATGTGTTTCATTTTATATTTCAACGATACGGGAAAGTACCCGATATCATTATACTTGGGAAAGAGTTTTAAATACATTTTCCTTAATCCATTATGTTATTGGGATTTACCATCTTAATCGTATAGATTTAAACAGTACAGCTCGACACGTTGATTGCTAATTGCAATTTCTTTTGAAACATCCTATACATTCGAAGAATATATAATATTACTTCCATTTTGTTTCTTGTTTATTAAATTCATAGAAAACGAGGAATACCTTCATCATTCGCTTATTTATTAACATTATTGTTATTATTATTATTATGTAATACTCAGGCAGCATCATACGAGGAAATAATACGTTTTCGTTTTGATTTATTCTTGATTATGATCACTCGATCGGGATTTCCTGAAAATATGATAACCTTCAATAATTTTTCAATA